AAGAATTTGTATTTCTTTCTAAGCTAACAGTTATCTTTTATTTACTAAGGCACGTATTTTCTATATATTTTCATTCTCATTGGATTCTTTGAAATACCTAAATACCTTCTAAGATGTTATTGTTAATTATTCAAAGGTTGAATTTTTAAACATATTTTCAAAAATATACATAGATCAAAACCTTCCACAGTTTATTTGCTTTAGCAAATAAATGCTTGGTAAAATTTCCGCACAGCCCCATACTATTGTAAAACAAATCTGTTTTCCCAATGGCAATCTATTGTTCTTGTCATTGTTTTCTCTATCCAAGAACTGAATGCATAATGTAGTATGGGGCTGCGCGGAAATTTTACCAGATGCTCTTTCAGAACTGTGTACAGCCTTCTCTTCCGCTTCTCCCCGAAGACTCAATCACAGCCTGAGTCGTGTTTTCCTCGTGTTTGTCTTCTTCACAGTTATTTCTGGCATTTCCATTTCCAGTGTCAGGTGTCATTTGCTCATTTCTCTCGGCTTCAGCCTCGACTCTGTATCCTCTAAACTCGACAAGCTCCCCTTCTACGGCCAGGTTTTCCTATAACAGACAAAGACAGAGAATAAACTGTGAGCAATGAAAACACAAACCTATAGTATTGCAGAATTTTTTGCTACTTTGGTAGTATTATCTAAAGTTCTGAAAACCAAATCAACAAGAGGCTCATCTTTCTCGCAATTTATTTTTCACGAGTGTTTTCTCATAATTGTGTAAGCAATTTTTCCTTCGCTATTGGCTCCCGTTATCATGTAACATGTAACAAAAAACAAGCCAAAATTTGACGAGAAAGGAAAGTCTGAAGAAAGTTAAGTTTGCAGCCAGAATTAGAGTGTGGTAGTGTGATACCTAATTGACTATCAACTGTCATCCCACTCAGGGAGGGGGTGTGGGGCGTTACTAGTGATGTTCGTAGTCGTTTATAAAGTTTGTAACTTTTTGTATACTTCCGTAGTCGAAGTATACAAAAAGTTATACATTGGTGAAACAGGAGGACGACTAGGTGATCCATTCCGAGAACACCTTCGCGACGTTGAAGAAATGACAAGTACGCATCCAAACCATACTGTCTCACCGACGCAGCACCATAGTTTCTTTAAAAGTTACCCCCTTTATTCATTTTCCAGGAATAATTCGAGTCGTTTAAATCTCAGTGGAAAAACTGCTCTGAACGGTGAATCAATAAATCTGTCTTTACAGAACATGTGCACCTCTACATTTATTGACTGGAACTAAAAAAATATTTCAAATTTTTCATATGATGTTCATACCTCTGCACCTCCATGGTTGTTCCTGAATCTCTGTGCTTTGCCTTCTTTCTGAGCTCTCTTTATTCTCCTGTTTCCGCGCCACAAGAAAAATACTATGAACACCAGGAGAAGGAAAGCAATTGTAACGGACAAAATGATTGCCCAAAATTGCTCAGGGCTAAGTGTTCCCTTGCGAGCAGGGTCGTCTGTAAAGTAAAAAGAACTTAAGGTGCTGTGGAAAAGTAGTGACTAGAAGTGTGTTTTTAGATTTGATACTGGAACGACACCATTCGACACCAACTGAGCTACTCTTTTGGCTGGTGATAGACAGTTGGCAGATGATAGACAGTTGGCAAGTGATAGACGTTGGCATGTGATAGACAGTTGGCAGATGATAGACAGTTAGCAAGTGATAGACAGTTGGCAGGGATAGACAGTCTGCAGGTGATAGACAGTTGACAGGTGATAGACAGTTGGCGTGAGTAGCAAACTGCGAGAACTGAATTATTTTCGCCATAATATGTTGAACTATTCTCAGTATTTGAGAAACTACACACCTATCCCTCCTGGGCAAACTCAACATTAATCCTACCTTGTTATCAGTTGACTGTTATTGGGTTAGGGGAGGGGTAGGTGCGCAACTGCTGAGATACTGACATTGATCCGTTAATTTTTCGCGTAAACATATTTTTTTTCTTCATCTTCTTTGACAGAAAGCTATTACAGTATCTTTTCCAGGTTATTTTAAGTTGAAGTTGACATTTTAAGATCTATAAATTTCAGTTCATACGTTCGCATAAGCTAGATTCGCACACTGTTTTTGTTATTAAGTCTAGTTCTCTGTAAATAAACCACTTGAGAGAGCAGGGTGCAGGGTAAAACAAGTCATATTTTTTTCTGAAGAGTCTGGAAAGGGAAGAATTAGAGTATAAGTGCTCATTGCAACCTATAAACCAAATGTGATACATTAATTTATTTCTTAGGGCTATATTTATTGCATTAATAGTTTAAGTCATGGATATTAGTGTATACATATATAAATATATGTATGCATATAATTTTTGTTTTTTTTTCTAATGTATATTTTAAGATTTTTTAAGTAGTTTTAAACTTTTATACTTAGTTCACGCCCCTACTGGAAACCAGCTTCTATAATGTTGATGATAGGCTAGAATTCATACCCCTCAACCTGTAGGGAGTTACACGCCCTGCACAAATAACTGTAGCGACGTTTTTCCCAGAGTCCAACAATAGATTAGGAAGTGCTTAATCTTTCCAGCGAAAGTCAAGTGTTACAGTGTTATATCTTTAAATAAGGAAGTGTTTAAAGGCAAACAGTTCACTTTCATGAGGGAATGGCTCAGAATAAAAGGGCTCTAACGTCTAGGTTTTAAAGCTTGGTCAATGTGTACAAAGTCACAGTTGCTGATTATGTCCTTTGCTGAAAAATTTGGGGAGGGGGCATTTAAACTCATTTCCTAGGGGGATGTTGAAGCCTCGAATTGATCGACGCATTAATACTATGTTTGTATAACTAAATACTAAGCAGAGTGCTTACTTACTTTCAATAACAAATGTACGTAGCACCTCATCAGGTTTATCGCTTGATATACAAACGTATTTTCCTCGTAAGTCATCATCAGTCACAGCGACAAATAGATGGCTTTCCATATTCCCGCCATTTTTCGTTTCGAGCACAGCTACACCAAGATCGCTGTTTGATAAGTCTTTTCTTTCCCTTTTCCAAGTGATGCTGGCTGTCTGGTCACGTGATGTGCACGTGAAGTGGGCGATGTCGTCATGCCTGGTGTGCACAGTTGTCAAATTTACTGGAGAATAAATTAACCATTAGGATTTTAAAGGTTTCACTACGCTATTTTTTATCTGTCAAATAAGATAACAGCTTACGTCAATGGTAAGAACATCTTCGTAGGAGAGGATTTAAGAATCGGAGGTACGAAGTGGTGAATTCATGTTTATAACTTATCTCAGGTTGAAAACAAGAGATATTTGATTCCATGACAATTTCTCCACTCGTTTTGGTTTTCATTCTGTTCAAGAAAAGATGAACTTTTACGCAAAAAAATTGCTTAAACTCTAGAAGATCTGATTCGTACCTGCCTCTGAGTGATGTGATTTTCTTTTTAATTTTTAAATCTCATGGTAAGATTTAGTGATTATAAAAGATTCAATCTGAAATGGTCTTTTTATTGCCAGCATGATTCTTTGAAACAAAGAAAAATTGCAAGTTACAGCAATTTCTTTGGTGAGAGTAATCTGTTTTGCGAGTCGAGTTTTCAATTTGTACTAATTAAAAATTCATGCGTACACGTTGGAAGGTTGGTCCACCAGTGAAAACATCACGCCTAAATTAACTTAAATACATAAACTGAAATATCCTTAATTGCTTTGTGGGAGTAAGCATTCTTGCTGGTCTAGTTGTTCTAAGAATTCTGAGCTATTTTAAAACGAATTAACTCCATTGTCTTACGCAATTCCTCGAGATTTACGTACGTAATCTACACGTAAGCTTTGTTTTGAAAATATACCTTAAACTTATATGCATTTTCGAGTGTAGTTTTTGAAATGTATTGTGGAAAAAAAAATGAAATCAGCTTTCAGCTTTAAGTCTGTTACTGTTGACTACATTTTCAATAAATCAGTGTTCTCGTGGGAGTATAGCTTGCGTTCTGTTGGTGTGAGGGTTGTAACGCCTAGTTTATAAATAAATAAGTTAAAACTTACAAGCTTCTCTCCGATGTCTTACGAATGTCACTGCAGCTGTTACGGCATGGATCGCAAGAAACAAAATAAATATGTTTAACACCATGTTCTCCATCGAGCATACCCCAAATGTCTAAATGACAACTAAATGAATGAGGGAGACTAAAAGATCCGTGGTCTCCTCAAAATTTATATCATGCCTGTGAACACTGTTTTATCTGAGCCGATATTTTTGAGTTCATAGCGTCAGAGAAAATTCCCTGTCAATATCTATGGCACTTATCATAGGTTAATTCGTTTGCATGTACAGATATTTCTAAAAGGGGCTGTCCCCACAAGGGCACAAAAGGGTATAAGCGACACTCCAAACCATTCGATGAGAAATAATTGTTTGGTGGAAGTATCTTTGCCTGGAAGTGATGATACTAAGGAGCTAGAATGGATATGCACATTGCTGGATTCTCCTTTTTCACCGGCGGAAGCAAACCACAACAACGAGGAGCATTTGACTCTTGACTTGAAAACAGGGTACACAAGCATAACCCATGAAGCCATTCGGCATCGTAGCGGAAAAAACCTAACCGTAAAGACCTCTATCTGTTCCGCTACAGCTATCAATTGAAATTTTTGAAGAACAATCGAGCTTTTGGATTATTAAAGAGACCATGTTCGAGGAAAAGAGAAGAGATTGTTATTCGAAACTCATGACTTGGATAACACCACAAAGTTTTATCACAGTTCAAATCAGGTTCTGAAATCGCGCAAAATATATTTTTGCCTGATTGAACAGATGTATAGAGGAGGAAAACTTGACCACTATTACTTCAAAACTTGAAAACCATACAACAAAACAAGAGAGAAAGAGAACGTGACAATGCACTAGAATCTCGCATCATAAAACTAAGTTATCATAAATGAAAATCTTAAAATAGCACAGAAATATTGGTCATGTGACTGAAGTAGTTAAGAAAAAAATTTTTGACTACCGTTGTTTCGAAATGTCTAAACTACATTAACGTTTAAAAATCTTGCTGTCATAAACGTCCAAAGGAACACTTTTTGGGACTTCAGCCAGTTGCAAATTTCGTTATTTTGACGAAACATGCTGCAACTGTCTTTATTAGGCACGGTCGATGTAATGTTATCATTTAATCGAGATTTCCTATCCTTGTTATGTAATCTTAAAAGCTTCAGCTCAAGCGAAGATGTCGTTTGCTTGCTGCAAGGACATCATTTTTGTAAACAAAAATTTACAAGACTGTAAATTGCGCTTAAATATTGCCGAGGCTACTTCGTTCATAAGTTTTGATACGACCATAGCTAGTCCACTTAATGATCATGTGATGCTTCTACTGAAATAATGCGAGTTCCCATACAGATGCCTTAAACATTTTTTGAAATCTATCGAAACAAGGCTTAGTTTAAGCAGAGTATTCTTGTGCCAGCGTTTAAAAAGTGACGACGACCACTCAATATTGTGATATTCCAAGAATACGTAACGCAGTGAAGCCTGAAATCATATTATCAATATTGACACCAAAATGCTCTTTCAGATCAAACACCCACTCAGTCAACTCCGTAGTAGATGCTTAAATGATTCTGTCATTGCCATAGCAAAGTTGCTAGGTCCACATGAAGCTGTTTACAAATGTTTTTGAAATCGTCTAACTAGTTTCCTTTAAGGAACCAACACATATTTTGTTTTTAACTTCAAGATACACTTTCGTCCACTTTCATGCTATAATAGAGTGCATAGTTTTGATGCCCACCCTAAATAATATTATTTTTCTGAGGACTTAAGCCTGATAATAATCTTGTCTAAATATTCACTCTCAGATCACAGTATTGTATTTCAGAGTATTTTAGTTACAGCGATGCCCTGAAGACTCTGGTGCTAGTTTGTGTCGTTTTTTCTGCCGCTTTTTTTTTCTTGAGAATTTACCAAAATTTCTTGAGAATTTATTGAAATAAACACATCAATATGCAAAACTGTTTTACGGGACAAAACCTCAGCCTTTGCTTTAACAAAACCAACAATTTTAATATTGCCTTTCTAAGTCTTAGTCATTCTGATAATTTCTCCGAGCCATTAAAGTCAGTTTTTGCGACAAGTTGCTGTAGCTTCCATGTTGTTATTTTTAGGTCATCATGCTAAAGGTCGATAGCATAAATATACGCGGCTGCTTGACATACCGATCAAGTGTCGTTGACGCCAAGCTGAATGAGCAAGCCACTTTGCTTTTCATAGAACACCATGAGACAAATGCAAAGTTGATATTTAATGAGCAACCAAAAAATTCTCATCAGTTTCATTTCTTTTTCTTTTTTTGAGGCAAGTGAGGCCCAAAATCAGCGAACCCTCTTCGGAACTCGTACTCCGTCTCATGTGGAACAGGCCGCTTCTCTCCAACACGATGATCAGACGGCCTCTTGTTGTAGTTCCGGTTCCGGTGCTCAGGAAAAGTTGGCATCATATCCGGTTGCACCGGGAGTGGTTTTTCGACAAAATACGAGTTCTGCAAACAGTCGGCCGCCGAGGCTCTTTTACACGGGTCGTACATCAATAAATGATTTATTAGAGTTAGTCCCGCGGGACTCAACCACGAGAACTTGTGTTTCAGATTATTATAAGGCTGGCGTTTGAAGTTTATGGACTTGGCTCCAGGGAGGCTCGTGAATCCTGGCCAAATCTGGTCGCTTGGTGTTCCAAGTAGATCCACAATGAGCTGAAACTGGTTGATCTCTGATCTTCCAGTCATAAGGGGCTTATTGTCAAGGAGCTCACCAAAAATACAGCCCACAGCCCACATATCCACAGCTGTGGTTTGTACTTTGGAGCCAAGAAGGAGCTCTGGTGCACGATACCACAGGGTCACCACAATCGGCGTCATGGCCTTGTATGGGTAACCAAATGTGCGGGCCAGACCAAAGTCGGCTAAACAACATAACATACAAATGATGAAAAGAATGAGGAAGATGGTAAATTTTGAGCTCAGTAAAGAAACAGAGAAAACGATGTCTGGTCACAAGCGTGGGACAAAGAAAAAAATTAAAACATTCTGAGACCCCATGAGGAACATGATGCTATCAACATTGCTGACTGATCCTTGCAATATGCATGCTGCTTGTCATACGTGAACTTAGTGATGGCCTTGCTCACCATAGTGTCTCTGTGGCTCAGTGGTAGAGCATCGGAGCCTGCAATCCAAAGGTCTGAGCCTTGTTTCCTCATGGGGACTCAAATTTTTTTTCTTTGGCATGTTTGTGACAAGATGCAAAACATCTTTCTCTAAAATATTGATAATTAATTAGAGGACTGTATACCACTGGGTCACAAAAATTAGTGTCATAGCCTTGTATGGGTAACCAAATGGGCAGACCAGCTGCCCAAAGGCAACTTAACAACACTACATAAGAGAGATAAGCATCTAATTCTCCTGGGGCAGCTATAATTCTTTAGCCAAATTTAATAAATTATATTGCTTCATATTTCTATTTCAAGCCTTTTACCCCTTAGAGTGACTGGCTTCTGATTTCTCCTTGCAGAATCAGCCTTAATTAAATCAAATTTAATGGTCATAAGAATAAAGGTGGTAAGCACCAATGTAAGAAGCTCATGATCATTTGACAAATTCTCCTTGTCAGGACCCTATGAAATGTAAAGAGATCAGTGTGGAGAATATGAATACTAATAAAAGGGTTAAGGTTATCAGCTGAAAGGTAAGCATTTTCAAAAAAGGATGCAAACTTTAGCAGATACTGCTAATAAAAGCAGGAATAATAATTTACTTTGCTGACAACTAACTGACAAATTTGAAAGGCCACACTTCACTTCTTTCAAGGACAATCTAACCTCCTTGTCTGCATTCCAAATTGATAATGCACACAAGAGTTCAAACATTTTATGAGCTAATTGAATTAAGACTTAAAACTATGTCTTTATTTACCAATCTTAAGGGTTCCTTTCCCAGTCAGCAATAGATTTGATACTTTCAAATCTCTATGCACAATAAACTTCTCATGAAGGTACTGTACTCCATGGAATAGCTGTAACATCAAACACTTGATCTGTGATTCTTGGAAAGGAGATGTCATGTTATCTAGTAAGCTTGCCAAATCTTGCTCACAGTATTCCATGACAAGAAAAATACTGTCTAAGTGTTTTCCCACAACTACCTCCATAAGCTTCACAATATTCTTGTGTTCCAGATTTAACAGAAGACTTATTTCCCTCAATCCACTGAGAGGTATGCCATCTTTCTCTCTCTCCATTCTTACTTTTTTCAGTGCAACTATTTTGTTTGAAACAGTGTCACAAGCACGGTAAACCACACCATAAGTTCCTTCTCCGATTCGATTGAGTTTTTCAAACTCTGTGACTGGTCTACATTGTCCATAACAGTGTTCTTGTGGGATTTCCTGCTTTTTCAAGGTTTTAATGGATACCAGCTCAATACCTTGCTTACTGTGCTCCGGCTGCATGACTTGGACACTCTCAAAGCATCATGTCAAGCTACAGAACAGGCTTTTATGGACGTGAAGATGAGAAAATCCTTCAAATCTGATGATTAATATGAAAGATGGAATGTTTTTTTAATCAGTCAGCAATGCAATCATACTTAACCCCTTAACTCCCATGAGTGACCACGAAGTTACTTCAATACTTCGAAATGCAAACATTGGCACCTGTGTTAAAACATCAAATATCTTCATATCGATCGAATGGGGACTTTTTAAATCTGGTAAGAAGTGGAGAATGAAGGATATCCAGGTTTTAGTAAAACTGCTTCAGTGACTCAGACAACCGCAAGTTTCTAAACGTAAACAACATAACGTTTTCAAAGAAAGCTAAAATGCGGGGAAATCGTCAACCACAAAATCACAGCAATGTTTTGAACCGCTTTGTATCGGTAGAAAAATTGAATAATATCAGCAAGTTCGAACAGAAATTTTGAATAAATATTCTCGGAATTTCAGAGTTTTCGTGAACACTCTTGATCTTCGATTAGCTAGTCACCTTGAGCGAGTGGTAAACTATTCACTTGACCCAATGGACAATTGAGCACAAGGTCTTCACTCACCACCAATTTGAAAATTCTATGCTAGTATCTAACCTCAAGAAAAATGAAGACTATATACAACAAACACTTACCTACTTTTTATTGCAAGCGAGCCGCCATGTTTACAAAAGTACTGAAACCTAGATTTACCTCGTACTCGTTGGGCCGCGCTCGATTCCAGCTCACCGTCTAAGGGTTTGACATCTTAAAAAAAATTAGTTAATCGCGACCATAACATTTATCGAAACCCAGTTCTGGTGCGGTGTCTCAAAACTAGCAGCAAAGCGGTTTTGATTATACTTACTAACTTAGGGGGCGCCGTCTAAACTCAGCTTGAATAAGAAAAAATTTCTTGCCCCACGCCATCGAGAGTTGTTTGAATTATTTTTTTTTCATTGATTTATTTCGGCTCCAAATACAAGTGGCCGATCTTAGAGTTATATTTTCATATGTTTTTGACGAGTGAAAATAAGGTCTGTTAAAACGAGAGTTAGTTGTAATCTCCAAACTTGAAAGGGACATGTGTTATGTGATTGTTTTGATAATGAAGTGGAGTGGAGTTTGGTCTGAAAACTTTTGATTTCAATCTAAAATTGCCCAACATGAAGTTAAATTACCACTTTAAAACATCTATTTCGAAATCGCAAAATTATGTCGCTAAATACCATTTTTTAAGTCTGTACAAATATTTTATTGATTCAGCATATTAAGCTGGTTCAAAAGTTGTCTCTGATTTCCTTGAAATTTGGTTGAGTTCTTTAATCAAGCCTTGAAATTTGATTGGTTGTTGTTTTTTAGTACAGCTGTTAGTTAATGTTTGTTAATGGTTAGGAAAAAGATTTAGAGCATAAAATTGTACGATTTGTAAATAAATTGCACCGGTGAGAGCCAATCAGATTGCAAGGATTACAAGTGAACTCATAATGAATGTGTTTCGTCGAGACAAAGTAAAATACTTGACTGGGGAATTCACCATCTTGGCGAAGATAGTGCATTAAAATGCTAAAATCTGAAATGGTAAAAAGGTTCTGAGAAGTAATCAATGAGTGACAATGTTTTCAGACGTCTACACTCCGCAGGCAACAAAGGTTGATTTATTATTTTAACATAAAGTTGTTCCAGTACAAAACTACAAAGCTCTTCGAAGTTAAGGAAATCAGAACATATGTTGAAAACTCTCTTTCGATGTCCCATAAATCGTATATTATACGAGTCCTTCTTTGAAGGCATTACAACAAATTCAACGTCGCTTTATCCTAAAGCGCTAGCAACATAATCAACTATGATTCTCTTAAGGAGAATCTTCATTTGGCTTCACCCAAAGAGAAAAACTTTACGCACTTACTTTCAAACAATCATTAACAAGGTAGTATTTACCAAAGAACCAGCCTAAAATACAAATCCAATTTCTATGCTGGTTCCATTTCTCGTTATCTTTTTTAGTATATACCACGTACGCGAATAGCTCTTTTCGCGCGTGCTGATTGGCTAGCTGGAAAGTGATTAGCACGTACTATTCACCTACGAGCAGCCAAAGAGACAAACTTGCACGTCAAGAGTTTAATCTCTAATCATTTTTCTTTACTGGTTCTTGTGCGGTATATACTAAAAGAATTAAAAAAACCCGTGTCGTAGTGGATATCTAACTCCACTTCGGGGTGACTGATTGTTTACTGTAAATATGTCCCTCGTGAAATTTGCGTCGTGTGTGATCTCCACGCGGTAAACACATGATTATCACTTGCTGGCATCATCTTTTTCGTCTTCACTACTGACGTCTCTTTCGCAATTCTTATCTTGCTCAATCATTGGTTGGCTATGATCACGTGTAAGCACTTTCCGGAGCGCTGACCGATTGAAATGCTGAATGGACAGCTACAAAAAGAAGCACAACAGTTTTTCGGGTTAAATTTTCGGGTAAATTGCACACCACAAAAGGACATCACATTTTTCAAAACAATCAAGCTTTCACCTGGTGTTTAAGGTACTGATCAATCAGTGGCGAACTTTTGTCAATCGTTGCAGTCTTCCTCAGTGAAGTCTGTCTAGAATTCGATAAAATGGTATATGTTAGAAGTCCTTTAGTTATATTTACCATTTTCCCCCTACCATTTCGTTCGCTGGGAGACATGAACTCTCAGACAGAGAGGAGGGGCGGAGGAGGAGATCACAAAGACAATCGCTTACTGCATGTTAGGCTAGTCACAACCAGTTTCTTACGTGAGGACGGTCGCGTAAGGGCGGAGGCGCACAAGGCAAACGTACACGAAGAGGCAGTGAAAAAACCGAAATAGTACGGAAAACAGACTAACGCGTATCTCACCTATCAAAAGACTTGACAGCCTTTCCAATGTCTTGAAGTCGTTCAACATCACCTCTTTCCAGTCTCTCAAACAGTTTGTTGAGTCTATCGTGCGAAGGAAGAGATATGTCTCCAGGCTCACTAGTAGGCAGCGCGGTCGACGTGGGACCAGTAGCACTGATAACAGGCAATGGCTGTTTGGTAACGGTCTCTCCGATGTGGGCTGGAATCGAGTTGGATCGGGTCTTGAGTTGGGCGGATTTTGACTCTTTATTACCTGAATTAAGGCAAAAAAAAAAAAGAGAGAAAAAAAAAAAAGAACTGAAACTCTCTTTGAGTTATTGTAAAATTATGTCTTAGTTACTAGGTAAGCGTGCCTGGTCCGGTCGTACTCTACAGCGTATGTTGCTTTTGAAGCCAAAATTTCCCCTCATTCTTGGCCAAACTCTTAACTTTCCCAGGAAATCACCTGTTTCCACTTGTTTCTACTAATTCTGTTCCGACGAGCTAACGAATCAAATGCGATTTCGACTTGACCCGTTTTGCTCTCCAAGCTGTTTTCCTTGACTAGAAATCGTTTCAAAGAGAGACATTCAAAACATCTCACTGAGCTCGTCCCCACGATCCGCGGAAAGACTGGGTCCGTAACTAACAATAAGGACTTCGTACTCAGTTAGCAAGAGTTATGTATCTCCCTACCCTGTGTGTATGGCGAGTTGTGGCCGCTGTAACTGAGTCTCTTCGTCCGAGCATTGAAACCGATACCCCTCGCTTGGTCCAGAGCACGTATGACGTCATCGCGCTGGCAGATGGAGAGGAAAGTAACAAATTTAACCAGTTTATCAAAGTTTGCATGTAACGTTGAGAAAAGTTCAGGGCGGAAGGTTCTCAAGAAGAAGAACTTTTTCAACGGTCTCATCGTAGGTAAACACCACGTAATCCACCCTGAGGGATCCTATCCCGTTTTTGTTACATGATGCAACTAGAGGTATCTCTGCCCTCTGGATGCAGGATTCTCTCCGTCCCCCCCTTCTCCTCCCTCCCTACATTTTATCAAAGTTCTCTGACAGTTTGCCTGCACCCATGACAGATGCAAGACCTCCAAATACGTACTTGAGCATATTGTAGAGGCGTCAGCTGTTTCTTGTTCCTTATCGTCACCGACGCTTCGTTCTCGAGCAACAAATTCACAAGTTTGACAAAAGTAAACCTGGAAAAGTAAAGAAAAGTTAGATAGAAAATATCGCTCAGCAGAGCAGCTGTGCTAAGTTTGCTCTTACTGTGTATTAATAGAGAAAATTCATCTGAGATCCAGGAATGCGTGAGCCAGATCTGTTTATTCCTTGATTGCATCAACTATAGTGATAGACTGTTTTTAATTGTTTAGGATTAAATTGACCCATCTTGTCGCCCAGTTCCGCCACATTCTGTTCTATGACAGAATGAAGGATCGTTGAAATACCAGTTACTTTTCTTGGATATTGTTCCAGTTTCCACAAAAATTAAGACCCCTGGATTAACTCGACCCACCGCTGAATCGATTAAAAACAAAAAATACCCTCGTCTCTAGGACAGTGTAATGCCCTGGAATGACCGGAGCTACGACATCGTCAACATATGACACACGAGGACGAGGCTGAAAATGGGCATTTCTACTTTCCCTCAACCTCTAGCGAAAAGCAGCCCCAAGATAACAATAATACGTGCATTTTTTCTCAGTAATCACTAAATTCAGGAGCGAGTTTGGAAGACAATACCATACCTGGCTGCTACGTGCAGTGGTGTATTTCCCTGGTCATTTAAGAGATCCACGTTGGCGTCGTGCTGCATCACAATATGAACAGATCAGGGAAGTTAGATTAAGCCTCTGTCTCCCAAGTTCTGATTAATAATGCTCCCTTGCAGCTCCGGTAAGTTTTCTTACTACATGTACTTAGTTTAGAGAATTCGGTATTATGTCAATAAAATCATATAATTTTATCTATTCTCGCCAACTGGAAAAAGACAGACGTCGTTCGTTTTGTGGCAGACAGTTAAATGAGCTTTAAAGGGATATTTCGAGTCACTCGCTGAACAATGTTTAAAAAAGCTCGGTAATTGAAAAAAACCTCAGAATAATAGTTTGCAGGGATAAACAAACACCAAGTAAGTCAGAATAAACCAGAAAGGACTGTGAATGTCTGAGGATGAACAAGATTAACAAGGACCGTAGATAACATTCTGACGTACCCCTATGAGAACGCTAGCAGGATCCAAATTTCCAGTGAAGCAGCACAGATGCAGGGGAGTATTGCCTTTGTAATCTTTGATGTTAACTTTAGCTTTGTAACTCAAAAGAAGACCGGCCACCTAATAATGATTGAAATAAAAAACAAATAAATAAAAATAAACAATAAGACATATTAAGGGCATAAAAGACGAGGTGGAAGAGCTATAGCTGTTGCCATTAGATCAAACACTGTGATAAATACACTCGCAACTCCAGAAAATTTTTCGAAAAGGACACCTCGGATAGTTTATACGCAGTCAAAAGTCCGTGAAATAAAAGAACCTCCAGGATCGTCATGTCACCAAGAATATAAATTGCGTTGACTTCAGACTTGAAGTAGTTACTACTCAGGTCGTTTGTATTCTAGTATGGATTCTTTTTTCTATTTCGGACACCATTCTTAGGACGAGTCGACGAGTCTATCCTGCCAGCTCAAAGGGTCAACAGTGCTAAGTAAACATCACAATATCGATTACAGACATACCCTCGGGTGATTGTACTGACAGGCGAAATGTAAAGGCGCTCGCATCTGAGTGTAATTCTTAGCATCAGCCTGAGCTCCTCGGCTCAATAACAAGTTGGTCATTTCTTCGTATCCCCTGATAGCTGCAACGTGAAGAGGCGTGTTTCCTTCGCCATTCTTAACATTTGGATGAATGATCCTCTCTGCGGCTTGTTGTGATCTCTGCCACAGAATTCACAAAGAACATAACTTACGAATACAACCTCCACGGCATGAGAGCATGCTGGCTGAGGTACAACTTTTCTAAGGCAAAGCCTGAGTTTTGAGACCCAACAAGGATTTAGAGGCCTATGAGGCAGACTTTTCCTCTCTATTTAAGCTCAGCAGAAGACACACAAAAGATTACAGCAAAAGGGAGCCAAAAAAAAATTTTTTTTCTCTCTTTCGCCACATGCCCTCGGTGACTCTCGCTCAGCTCTCACTTTTCCCGTTTTCTTAAAAGGCTATGGACTTAATGCAGATGCTTAGGGCACGTTTTACACTACATCGTAACATTCGAAACCCTTCGTCGAGATCTGGCATAATGAGACGCACTGGAAATTTCAAATCAACACAACAAAGGTTATCAAAGAGATGAAGGTCAGAAATTGTTCATATTTACAGACGTTTTTAAATCTGAGTTGGTAATTTTTTCCCATACCATAAGTATGTGACCAATTCCTCAGTATTTCTTTTGCGTCCTTATACATTTAGTGCTGAACTCTGAACCTTCTTGTGAAAAGCAATGTTCAGAAAAAATAACGGAAGTGTCAAAATCTCCATCACGTGGCATACCTTCTGCCACTTGCTGCACTTGTCACACTGACACAAAGGATGACAGAGGTCTTGGTCAGAGCGAGGCTGCTCGCCCGCGTCCACCTCGTCTTCTTCATCGTCACTCAGACCAAGTTTATAGCGAACCTGAAAGAGAAAATCATTTAAATAGAAATTTCTTAGTGTTGAAAGAGCTACATTAGATAAACCAACAAGGAACAAAGATGACTAAGAATGAAGATCATCGAAAAAATGATATAGAAGCATTCAAGCTCCTCTCTAAAACAGTTTGAAAACTCGGGTTTAAATTTGAATATGAAACTTTGAAAGGATAATTACCGTAGAGGTCAATACCGAAAAAAAAAAACCTCACTTTGAGTCAGTTAAGATACCAAAAACCCCACCACAGCTTCGAAAAGCGTCCTCGCCTGCAACCAGGCCCTCATTGGTGCTGCAGGACGCGCGTCTCTCCGTACGTAGGAATATTTGGGACGAGTCGGGGAGAGGTTTGCCAATTTCTGACACCCTCGTTTTCAGGGCTAGATCCCTTACGCACGCGCAGATTTCTTGCCGTCTCGCATGCCACCAAGCCTCATACCTTCAGGCGAGCGGAGAAACGCTGGTGCTGAAGCGCTGACCATAGGGGGCCTTCTCTCAGGCTAAAAGGAGCCTCAATAAACATACAATTTTTAAATGTGCGTTTCTTCTGAAAGGTTCAGTCTCTTTGTTCATTCATTTCTACTTCGGTTGCCCTTTACATGCCACAATATGAGTGATTTCTTACCAGTTCTACATCGCCATCGGCAATTGAACGTATAAATCGGTCAATCTTTGAAGATAGAATACAAGATGCAGCAATAAGCTAACGAAGCTGGTAAACTAATCGAACATACTGCCACTTATGTGGAAGATACATGGGTTTTCTTGTGATCTGATTGGTTGTATACGTGTGCTTAGGAATTGTACCTTCTTCACCTTTCATTGGAATTCCTCTACAGTTATTATGTATGTATGTACCACTGATTACTCTTGCTTTCACTACAGCCGAACCGTAAGATATTCGAGTCAGATTGTGGGAGGTTTTCGTGTGAAAAAAGTAATTATAGACTGGTTGTAAGCGTTCTTTCTTTATGACGGCTTAACGTTCAAATGGTCTTCTCTAAACATCTATGACTTCGGGTTTACCTCCTTGGCCTTTTCCTGATCCTTTGAGACAGCGTTTGGAAACTCCTCGGAATGAATAAGCGGCCTTTCCACAACTGTGTTGGACTAAAAATAACAACGTCAACGGTCGGAGACGCACTAAAATAATTAAGATCTTCTAAGAAAGCTGTTCTTTTTGAATTACCAATGGCCAACATACAAATGTAACGACAAAACGATTTGCAAGAACTTTGGTTTTTCTATGCAGCATGCTGTTACTGCAATATTGTACCACGAGCCTACTGACTTCAGGGTCATCGGTCAGCAGACTGACACTACGTAGTACTCTATGATTATCGGTTAAGGGGGTCGATTAAGTTCAAAGTTTTGTGGAATAAGATGCTCCATTCTACCAGAGTTCCTCCAGGCAAAGCTCTTACACGATTTGGACACTATTAAACAAGGACAGGTGCAAACTTACTCTTTCCTCCGGATAAGATATCGCTGCGTGTTCTTGTTCTTCGCTGGCTGAAGTTTGTGCTTCAAGGAGTATCTCGGTGACCTGCCGATTACAAAAATTGAAACGCAACGGAATTATATAGTGACTGTTTTGAAAAGTTATAAATTCAAAAGCGCATACGAATTTAAGCCACCAGATGATAAGAAGCGGCCATGTCACTCCTCCAGTACCACTCCTTTCGCGGAATAAGAAAAAGGCCACCGTATGTAGGCTGAATCGAAAATTACCTGTTTATTATGGGAGCTGTCCAATGGAGTGGCCTTGTCTTTGTTTCGAGCTTCCAGTGAAGCGCCACTCTCAAGCAAAAGCGGGACAAGTTCAGCTGACAACAAACACACAAAAATGAGTGAACGATGAAAGAATTTGAAAGTAGAATACTGCTTCGTCAATTGAGGACACATAAGAGTGCTAAGAGAAGATAATAATCAAGCAGAACAAAGCCAGAAATACACAAGGAACCGATAAACCCACTAAAAGTAGATCACATACAAACGGGCTTAAGCTCGCGATTGGTTTTAGTCTAGCATTGTCACGGTTTTAATAGGTTTTTCCATAAGCGGCTGCCGATGGTGCAGTAGGCGGCTGTTCCCGGAAAAACGCCGTAAGCGCGAAACAGGATAGCTACTTGCAAGCTAAACAGTTGGCGGTAATAGGTCTCAATGCGGTACACTGCCATTAACTGGCTTTTATTGAAATACCTGGAACGAACGCATATTCTCTTGCTCAATTACAGTAAGAAGAACCGTAAAGAAAATTTCTTTCACTGTCAGATGTACTGTACTCCACATAGTCGAGTGATTTAATAGCCAACTAGATAACAAATGAAAGCTGCCCTGAGTTCATAAGAGCTTTCATTTTCTTCATGCAAGAGTTACTTATGATCTAAGTTCAGTGAAGCAAGACCCTACCATATCCCCAACGAGATGCCAAATGCAAAGGCGTGTCTCCGTGTTCATTGGCAGCATTCACTTTGAGCACGTTTAATTGCGTGTCAAAAAATATCAACGCCTTTGTGCACTACGGGGAAAAATCACAAGAATTCTATGTCATTTAACGAGACTTCATTCTACTAAGTGAAAAAAAAGTTGTTATTGACATCCATATTGTAATCACTGGTGATTCTTGCAATCCGACTGGCTCTTATCTGTGCTATTTATTCACGAATCGCACAATTTTTTGCTTTAAATAGCATCTTCTCCCCAGCCAATGAGAGAGTTTATCAAAAACACAACAACCAAACAGATTTCAAGGCTTGCCTAAAGTAACTAATCAAATTGCGAGAAAATGAAAGAAAGCTTTTGCAACTTTTTACAAATCAGCTCAGTACTGGATCACTAAAATATTTGTTCAGACAAATTTCTGTATTTGAAGAACTGCATTATGCAATTTCTAAATGGATATAATAAAGTGGTGATTGAACTTCGTGTGGTGCAATTTTGTTCGGAAATCTTACTGGTAGTTTTAAATCAAATCTGCACTGCGTGCTCGTTCGATTTTGAAATCACGCGTATGATGTTAGAGTAAAGAGCACTCCATTCAGTTCAATTACCATTATAAATCGTAAACTAGCGAAGAATGATTATGAAGAATTTGTCGATCACCCATAAAGTTAAGAAAAAGCTCTTACCTTCTCATGTCCATTCGCTGTGCATAAGTGTAGAGGCGTGTTACCATCGTTATCGGGAGCGTTTACATCAGCTTTATAATGCATCAGTACCAACTGAAACAGGAATTTGCAAAAGAGAAACATTCGTTTGATTCGTCAAGTCACTTGGTGCATAGAAGATAGGTCAAGGTAAAAATAGAAGTGTTAAAAACCGAGAGCACTAGAGCGCCACTACCGGAAAAGTCCAAATAAATATTTCCTACTCACTGCAGCGCTACCGTGTCCCCGCTGACAAGCCAAATGCAGGGCTGTTGTTCCGTTATAGTCCATAGCATTCACCACAGCACCTCTTTTGATCAGTTTGTACATCACGTTACAGTGTCCTGTTGATTATCAACAAAGAACATCATCACAAATTGTTCGAATCAGATCCCTCTCTGACCAAGTTACTTTGTTTTTGATGACGTCATCTACGCCTCGTGACCCGGAATGTGACGGGCGAATTCGCACGCCATTAGTAATATGGTGTGAAATTGGCTAGAAAATCACGTACTGTAAGATAATTTTTACCGGAATTTGGCACTTGGAGAGAGAAGTAACCTTGGGTCGATGCAAGAGCATGAAAAAAAAAAGACTATACAAACTATTCACCATTCTAAACAAATAAGCTCACCGTATTCTCTACATACCGTACTCAGATGCCACATGCAGCACAGTTCGTCCCAGATCATCTCTAGAGAAGACTGTCACTGCAAACGGGTCGTGGCGTTTCCTGCAAATTCGATGATTATAGTCTCTTCTTTTCACAGTGTTTTGTTAGGAAACCATATACAATTCCTAATCCTTCACCCTCATTCAACCAAATCACCACCATTCTGTTTGTTTTCAACTTAGTACCATAAAATTCCGAAAGTAACTAACCACTCCCCTCTCGTGAATAGGTCTCACTATCTTTGGGGTGCAAAAACCCTATTGAACTTTCTTACAACTAAGCTCTTCGTCTGACATGAAAGACGAAAATTCGATTGCAAGTTTGTCTACTGCATTAAAATCTCGGTGCGCTGGTAGAGTTTGCAAAACCAATCCAGCGCAATACGTTAATTTTGAAAATGATAGGGTAGCAGCTCAAATTTGGCGAATAGTACGTTCCTGAAATTTTAACAGCTAATGTTTGAACACGACGCAAAATAGACTGATTAAACAGGGTTGAACATTTTATGATATTCTGTAGCGACACCACGATGTCACTTAAATCACTTGACTACTGATTGAATCAATAACTTTTCCATTGCACAAATCGCTATTTGAAGTCGAAGGGGGAGATGCAAGGAGAAAAACAAGCCACTTTGGGGGGAGGGAAGAGGAGGAAGGCACTATTTTGGGAATTTATCCAATGCCAAACTTTTTAAAGTTACCCGCGGAATTTTACAGCAAAACGTTTACCTCCTGTGTAGCTTTTCGCATTTAACACAAGCACACAGAGGGTGACAGAATTTTCCATCCGCAGATTCTCTCCCACTCAATAACAGCTTTTCTACTTCTTCTTCGTTTCCACTTGATGCAAACTAAAAGACACGGGAAATGACAAGAAACGGTAAATGATTGTTAATCGATTATTTTCATGAGACACTGTAGCTTTACCTGTGTATGTTGAGGGTGTCGCTCATTTGGAAATCTACTCTGACTCGAAATGGTTTCTGATAGAAGTCAAAAGGTTTTCTAACTAACAAGTAGATTTTTACGTCATATATATATTTCTTCATCTATGTACATCTATATGTACGAAAGAAGTGCCTAAGGACACTCTGTAAATTGTCCAAGATGGAAAAACTTCCAGCTGACAGTTGCCAAACCACTTCCCAGCCAGGCTATTTTTCCCGTGTCCATGACATGTTCTTGATGACACTTTTTCACCGTAGGTGGCACTTTAAGATTATTCTACCCATTTGAAACCTGATTGACAACCCTTGACACTTACCTCAAACAGTTTCTCAAGAGCTGTCATCTTGTCTGCTACATCGGTTTCCATGACAAGCCGGGGAGATGTTATCTTCTGTACGAAAAATAGGAACGGAGAATTCAGACTAAAACATAAGTAATACGCTCACAGAGATCTTTCAAATCACTAATAATACATGGAACAGTACGATCAGGTTTTTTTTCAAGCATAGTGGAAAGGCAAAAGTGAGTTCCTCTTCAGTGCAAAAAGTAGACTTTGTCCTATGCCGAGAGCCTACAATTTGTGACAGCAAAAATGGCTGGATAAAACCGCATATTTCACCATGAATCATTATGAAAGAGGGACAGCGATTTTTCCTGTAATTTCGGTGAAAAAGAAGAACGATATTACTCTTAGCGAAAAAAGTGGTTACATTCACGTTAAAAATTGATTGTATGAGTATAACATAAATAAATAAATTTATAATTTAGATAGCGCTAATTACAAGCCTCTGAGCGCTTAACAGTATGCAAGAGAGAGAAACAAATATTTCCAACAGACAAAAAATGCTTGAAATCCCAACTGGCCGGAGGCAGACCAGTATGCTATTTACACAGCGCAGCCGAGGAGTTGAACTCGGCACGACGGAGAAAAAAATTCAATTTATCAAGTCATCGCCCTGACCACTTGGCCACGCCGCCTCCTTTGTCAGTGCGCGATCTTCAAAACACTTTATTAACTGACCTTAGTGGGCGGAAGACCCTTTAAAATATCATCAACAGATCCTCTTCTAATGTGTTCCACAGCTGCTTCGATTGAAGACAGAAAGAATCTACAAATGGAAAGAGAAGGTTTGACATTAAAGAAACTCCACTAAAAAGATTTGCCATCCCGATTTTGTACGAACTCGGCGCAATTGATGGTTATGTAAAGGCCATTGACAAAGAAGGCAATTGTTTCAAAGTTAATACTCACTGGAACTCACTGTGCCCTCGTTTAGAGAAATGGAAATTGTGCATATAGGTTATGTTGGCAAGCCTGTGAACGGAACAAACTAAATAAATAAGTAAATAAATACGTAAATAAAAAAAAGAAGAACAGGAACAAACAAGGAATGGACTACTAGGCAATTAACAGAATAAAATTCAACTAAACCGGAGAAATGTGAAATGTCTTACATCTGCTGTGTTGACATTTCTTGTCAAGTCATAAACGTTTCATCGGGTTTACATGGTCTCATCTTAACAAAGGTGGAGGGAGGGGAGGGGAGGAGGAGGAGGAGGAGGAAGAACCAGAAGTAGACACATTTCAACAATTTCCCAAACTCCTCGAGTATTCAGATGAAGCTGTGCAAAAAATTCTCAAAAGTACGTGCGAATCCAAAACGTCTCAATTGCTGTCACCTATCGACCAATGAGAGCGCTGGAAGTATCACAGTTAATTCATTCATAAATTTTAAACGCAAAGTTAATAGACGGCATCCTTTAGGAATGATTTCATGTTTGTAATTTCATATTCAGTTACTATCAGTCTTTTGGTGATCAAACATCATAAATTCTCACAACTTCAGATTTGCCTGATAACGCTGGCTGTTTAGGCCGTACTGCAAACACAACAAATATACATCTAGTGTGCGAGCAGCCTCTTTTACACGCTGTAGCACGAGCGGCGAAGTCCGCCAAATTCGAGCACGCGAACGAAGCAAGCCGTCTGTCGAGAACGTGCCAAACCCATCGCAAATCCCACACTCGCACCCACGCTCGCGCGCAAGCTCACACTCACGACCCGAAACGCGCAGGCCTCGCCCCTTATATGGCAGCACCAATGACAGCTTGCTTGCAAGTTTATTTAAATCGTATCTACACACTAGAAAACCAAATAATCGTTTCTAATAAATACAAACCAATTTGGAATGTCAGATTTGATGATTAAAAAGATTAAGGCTGGAAGGAGATCATCCACTGTAATGGCCTCAGCAGCATCTGCAAGAGTGAAAAATATCATTTTCCATAACGTTTCAGGTTGAAATTTTCCAGGAATGTGCCTTGAGTCATCAGTTATCAGTGTCATCGATGATTATCTCGAAACACGACGGTAAAATGTCATTTGGTAATGTAGAAAAAACACAACACAAGGACAATTTATAATGACACGGTAAACGGTTGATCTTCACTTTGAAGGAAGTTAAATGCCTCATTAATGCTGTTTTTTTCTGCTACAGTTTACGTGTCATTTTTGACCATTGAAAGTATTCAAGCACATTCGCATGCTTTTACAGAAAAATGCCTACCATCTGGAGTCTTCATCTTCCTATCAGTCACTATGGTAACAGTTTTCTTCAGACAATGAAACTTTTCCAGGGGCGTTTTGTACTAAAAGAAAAAATACAAAAATATAGTTGTGCATGAATAAAATGTAAGAGTTCATAAAATTAAAGAACTAATGGATCAATGAACAAACAAACCACCCATCAAACAAACGGACGAACAAATAAAAATGAACGAAAGACGAACGACAAACAACGAACGAACGACGAACAAGGAGAAGAAGAATAACGAAAGTAAAACGACGAACGACAAACGCACGAAGGACGAACGCCGACCAAGCAATGGAACGATCGAAAGGATACGTCAGCAGACCGAAAAAAAAAACAAGAAAGGAAGAATTGTGAAGAACTAAAACGGAAACAGAATGCAGCACACAGAAGTATTTTAAACTAAACCCCACCTACCCTATTCAAGAACGAAAGAGCTCTTTTTCCTCTTGGCAGATTGGTACTGTGAACAAATCAATACATGAAGGCATATGTAAGCTCATCAAACTACTAAAAGAATTCCATGAACGTTTTACTCATTTCTTCTTTTTCATTGACTCGCCTCACTTGGCTGTCAAATTAAAACAGTGTCATTTCCTAATCAATTCACTTAAATCTATTACCAGGCTATCTTTTTTCCTCGTTTTTTTGGCTTGAAGTTGTTTTAATCACTTTAAGAAAGAACGATTTCCTGGTGAGATGAAAAGGTTAACCGTACTTTATTGGATCTGATGACCCCAGTTAGGCCTCCATAATGTATCTCACCGTAGCTGTTCCTTTATTCCCAGATCTTTGATCTGAATTTCGGCCAAGTTTCTGGTGGTTTTATTTAATAATGCGTCCTAAGAAAAGAAAAAATCAGAGGTCGATACTTTAATGACGGTAGAACTTCACATGTAATGTGCCCAACTAACAAAACGAGTTCGTGCAAGATAACAGTTGAGACAAGCAAAGATAAACACTCACTTCTTTTCCAAAAATAGAGCTGATGCCTCTTAAAAGCTGGTCATGAAGTTCATTCATCACATATGTCTAACAAAAAGCAAAGAGAAAATTTTTGACAGCTTAAAATGAAAAAGAAAAAAAAAACTTCCTTCATTAGATTATTTTGCATGTCAACACCACAACAGATTATTAACACATTTCCTCACAAACCTCAGTGGCAAGTTTGATGTTGTCCATGTAGTTGCCATTATGCAGAGTAAGTCTCCTCTAAGGATTAACAAAGGTACCACAAATCAGTGACATACACCAGTTTAAATGTTATAACTTCTGTTTAGTACAAGGTGCGAGTCAGCACTGTAGCCAGGTGATTCAAAACTTCAAATTGAAATCAAGTTTTTGAGGCATGAAACAACCAAAAGTGTTTTTATTACCAGTATCTGATGCTAACCAGTCCATATAAACAGACATATACATATCATTATTTTATATAAGGTGCCACCTCATCATCTTATAGTCTATACTTACAAGCTGTGAGTTCTTGAGGGCTGCTTGCATGGCGCGTGTGTATATTGCGTGAGCTGCATCCTGTTGGTGTTAAAATCATCACAATGTGTCAAGCCATACTCTTAAAAAAGTTGTAGTGGGTTTCATTGCCTATACAAGCTTTTAAACAAGCTGTCATACATCATTAATCCTTTAACCCCCAAGATCTGTTCATTCTCCCCTCAAGCTGCTACATATTCTCTTGTAAATTAGTTGCAAGAATTTGGTGTTCAATTAATTTCTTCCTGGATAATGTATGGCATTATACATGTATATGCTTACCATCAAATGCCTTAGTGATTCTCCCTCAAGCTGTTCATAAGTTGAGTTGAACAACAACAAAATATCATCAATCTGTTTCTGAGATTGTTTGCGTCCTGAAATAGAAGGCCAGAAAACATTCTTGTTCATACATGTAGATAAAGAGATACCATCACATAAGGTATATCCACACGCAAACATAAAATGTCCTGTTTACTGTTTTTCTTTTACTGCGGTTATTAATGAGATAAATTATTCAAATTGGAGACAATGTTAACAAGTCAGCCTAGTTGAATCTCTTCCACCTGGAATTTATTGCACACCCTACACTTACAGTGTGGCTGAAAAAAAAAAAAATAATAATAATAACAAACCAAAAAGTAAAACAAAACAAAACAGCAAACCTGCACTGCTCCACAAGAATTCACAACATGCTTGTAAAGATTCAAGAGATGTTACTTTTAGTTCCAGACTGCCTCCTGTGATAGGAAATTTTATAAAATCATACAAATTGTACTTAAAACAACTCCCAGTCCAAATTGGCAAGATGCAATGCACCATACATGCATTCCTCACTGTAAGGATCATAAGTTAACCATGGATGAATCAAGAAAGCGTAAATGGTACATGTGTGATATTCCTTTAACCTGTTGAAAGGAATTTTTCAATGATATAAATTTCATTGACCTGCGAATCAAGTGAAGCAATGGTCCTCCCAGGTGTTCTGTAATTTAAGCAATTGCAATAGAAAAAACCTTAAAAAATTCAGGCTTTGACAGGATTTGAACCTGTGCCTTCCAGATAATAGTTGGGCACAACTAACAACTGAGGGACATGTACAAAGCCACACACTGTAATTAGGGTAAATTTGAGAAGTTAATCTTTCCTTTAAATGAATCTGATCCCATTTCAAATGGAATAAATTCTCCTGACCTGGATGAAAATCAAGTACAGTAATAGCAGTTGCTTAACCCTTTAAACCCTAAGAGTGACTAGCAGCTAATTTCTCCTTACAATATCACCCCTGAATCAAACATTAAGGTCATGAGAATAATGGAAATGATCAACAGGTACAGGAGCTCTTGATTGTTAAGCAAAATCTCCTTATCAGCACCTTAAGAAAGTATAGAAAACAGTATAGAAAATAAACATACTGATCTTATGGTGTAAAGGGTTAAATTGCAGCACACCAGTGAGGCTAGCATATAATACGACCTGATCTCACTTCAAGCACAAATTTTAGAAATATTCATGCGTCACAAGTACTTTTAACAGAATTTCACATGTCACAAATTTAAGATGGAAACCAGTAACTTAACGTGTCACATATTCATTTTGGCCTTGGTCAAACATCATGTATAAATCCTTTCTCACCCTCACCTGTGAGGATTGTACAAATGAGCAAGTTGAAATCATCTCACTCTACACCCATTTCTTAACTTCAACTGATACATAATATAAAAGATAATACTCTCTTGAGAGATTCCTGAGGTGAAAATGAGTTTTCTGCGTAGTTTTTATCAATTTATATGAAGTTTTTACCTATTCCTCCTTCTAATGGCTGGTCGATACACAGCACTGGAAAGCTCTGATTGTTACCATTGAAAAAAGTTTCTTCAAACAGCACCCGCACCTATTAAGATAAAACAAGAAAGAAAATTCACCATCAATGAATGTTTAGTGGTGGCAAGAAAGTTATATTAAAACCATGATGCTTATAGTGTACATACATGCAGCAAACAACACAAAATTAATATCTATTACAATGACTAGACTTTATTAACTACAGTGTGTATCATACAAAATGAAAATAAATAATTGAACTGAAGTGTAGTGAATCAATGCCCATGGTTGGTTATTATCATGCATTTCAAATACCGGCAGTACTTCTATGGGTCAACAGGATAGGAAGAATTTCAATATTGGCATCAAATCAAAAATGATGTTATTCAACTGGTCACAAATTGGGTTTGGACAAACGATCTGAGTACTTGTGCAGAAATCAAAACCCAAACCTTTGGATTTTAACTGTATACACCCTAAAGCCCTATTCAAATGGTCATGATACTCAATGATAGTTTTATCTTAATTGCAAGTTTGAACCCCAACTTCATGCACTATCATTAACTATTGTGTAGTTTGAACATGTTCAAATTCAACGTGATAGTTAATGATAGTTTTTTGCTGTTTGAACATGTGGATGATGGTGAATGATAGTTTTTCTGTCAGCAGTTTTGTCGAAAAAGAGCTCAAACCAAAATGGTAAAATGACTAAAGTAGCCACCAAAATTTCACAGAATGTTTTGCAATTCATTCTAATCATCTCCTGGTAGGCTCCAGTATCTTCAACTTGCAACTTCTTGATTAAAATTTCAAATGCCACCAAAATTGCTGACCTCAGTGAGCAAAATACTTGTTTAGAATTATGCAATCTCGATGTGTGATTTCATCAGCTATCATCAACTATCATGAACAATTTGAATGCAAACATGATAGCAAATGGATGTTGAAACTAACATTGACTATCATCAACTATCATGACTGTTGGAACGGGACTTAACATCAGTATGCATATTCTCCATACAGATCTCTATAAATTTCCTGTGGTGCTGGCAAGGAGAATTTGTGTAACAATCAAGAGCTTGTTTATTTGATGATTATTTCCTTCATTCTTCTGAACTTAATATTTAAGTCAAGGGTGATATTGTGGGAAGAAATTAGATGCTAGTTACTCTTAGGTGCTAAAGAGTTATGCTAAATGCCCTATTTCTCAGTTACAAAGATCCCAATGGTAAGGTATACACTGCAAGCCATTTCTAGGTTCATAAGGGGCAAGAGTCCTGAAGACGGCAAGCATCAGCAATGTTGAGAGCACTTACTGATTTCACATCCTGAAAGCCTTCAGTTGTCACTATAAAATCTCCACTTACTTGGACTTCCTGCAAAAAAACAAGTACAGTGCAAGGTCTGACTGTATAATGATCTCCATTGGAAAATGGGTATTCTAGTACTTGCACTATACAATTAAACTATCCTGACTAATTATAAGCAGTTATTGGAGGAGGTTGAGCACGATAATGAGTTATCATTACTGAGGTCTAGGTTATCTGCTGAAGGCTGAGGCAGATAATAGACATGAGGTTTGACAATTCATGATATCGTGCTAAAACCAAATTCAATAAATGTTTTATCATACATTTACTAAACAATCTGAAAAAGACACCTCTCCCAAGTTTAAAGTTTGAGGACTCTCCATGGGCAAGGAGCTTGGAAACTTGACAGACTTTGAACTCGACATGGTAACTTAATATCTGCTGCAGATATTGGGTTATCATGTAAACTTCACATGCTTATTAATGATGATCATATTCACTCCTGTGCCACCTTGGATAACAGAGTTCTCTTAAACAGATTGTTGGTAGGATATCATACAGAGCATCTGCCAGATGAATGTCATGTGGCTCATTGGTGGAAATTCTCCTAGACCTTAATGTCAACAAGCATCCCTTTTGAATAAGCACCTCTCCCTCCTTCCTTATTAACATTTCAGATATAAGGAAAATATTTTTCTCATATAAACTACAATGTTACACAAGGATTTCCAGCCCTGAGAAAAGCTGTAACAACATGCATGAAAAAATATTGCTTTTTTTCCACATGCATTTGATATCGCTAATCAGCTGCTGACATGTCACTTGCATTTCACACCCCTCAGTCAGGTTGATGAATGAACAGCAAAGCCTTCATGATTCTCAATACATGGTAGTTTGTTGGAACTTTCTTGGATTATGGCAGTTAAAACACTAAAAAATCCGTATTGCTCACAAACAGTGACATTGAAGAAATGTAAAATGGTTTCCATGTTTACATAGCCTGATGTAAACATGCAGGAGGTTGGGAGAACACAAGATAAGCGTAGGAAACCACAACGTGAAGCGGAGTGGTTTCCAGCTTATCGAGTGTTCTCCTAACCTCCCAAGTGTTTACATCAGGCTATGTAAACATGAAAACCATTTTACATTTCTTTTATAAAATAACTAATGAAAGAGGAACGAAAAACCGTGTTTACATACGCTCATATAAAATGGTTTTATGGCCAATCAGAGCGCGCGTACTATTTGAATTATTTTATAATAAAACTTTCCTAGAAGAGGAAGAAAACCAATATATGAAAAGAAAACTGAAAGTTATGTATTCAGTGGTTTTGGTGATGGCATTTCTTGCAGCTGAGAATGAAAAATTAACACTTGGAAGATTTGCCACTGGCCGATTTTGGCCATTTACCTGAAAGACTTCTTCAAAGTCAATAAAATGAGAATTTTGTAAATTAAGAATTACATTCATTGTTGTTCTGATAATCATGATTCAATGCATTTTTCGATCTTAAGAGTTAGTGCCAACACACATGATTGTTAATTGGATTGTAGATTCATTTATTTTCATTCATTGATGAAGTTGGCTTTTCTTATCAGTAAAGGGCTATTGTGTTTATATGATAAACAAAATGATATATGGTTGCTTCTAGATATCAAATTTCTCTTCACATGTTCACCTTGACATGTCACTCATTTGCTGCGCCCATTAGTGAGCTATTGAGTTGAACACCTGAAGAGAAATTCCATATCTATGCATGCCCATATATTATTCTCTATTTCTATTGCCACTTTATCAATAACTTTCTAAGCTTTGACTACAACAGAACCAGCAAAGGTTAATAATTTCTTAATAAGAGCCCTCCTTCCAATAAGCACCCCTCTTTGTAGCCAAAAATTTAAATAAGTGCACAGGCACTTATTCAAGGAAATACAGTACACACTCTTTTTGCAAAGCAATTATCTCACCTTGTTGTTCACAGTTTTAAATACGGATGATTTGTCCTTTACAGGTTGTAGTATGTGATTTTCAACATGGCTCTGGGTAAAGTTTCCTCTTGGTAGAGTTCCTTGTCTTGGAACACAAATCTATATTGAAAAACAGAAAAATTATGTTGTTTGAAAAAAAAACAGATGAATCTTGCTGATGGCGCCTGATCGTGACACTGCATCATCTTTGTCACTCAGAGATTGAGACTTGCTACTCAGATTCACCTGAAGACAATTTCAAGTACGTCTATTCCGTACGAAAGTTGAGTGAAGATCAAGTTAAGTCATGCATTAGCAAACAAGTACTGGCTTCAACACCTGGAAGGTTGAAAGTCCACCTCTCTGTCTGGCCGTGGGAATTACTCGAATTGCCCTCCAAAAAAAAATTTTTATGAGGCACTTTCCCAAATTGACATGAGAAGTGACGTTGACAATCACTGAGAAATGCAATGGGGAAAGTTTAATAAGTTCCGTAAATAGCAGCAGTGATGTCACCTTTGCATCAGTTTTCTGCAAAAATTCGATCCCAAATATCTGAGTAATCAGACCTACCATCCATCTTTTGCTAGCTGCTTCCTCGTATATTTGTTTTTGCTTTGTTTGCATGTACTTAAAGAACGGATTTTCGCACAAATCTTCGTCATACCCTGAAGCTTGGAGATTCACATCTTCCGCCATCTTTGATTCTCTCAAAATGAGACTCATGCCAAATCCCACTACTTAGGCCGCTGAAAACAAAAGTATTTCGCCGGCTCAGGAAAAATATGGCGGATTGAGTGAGCCTGTAACAGAGCATAACTTTATAACAACATTTGTGCTCACTTGAGCCATACTATGATCGCTAGCACATTGTGCCATTTGCGAATATTTTTCATGAGATTCCATGGACGTCCTAGATTTATTTCTTCATCGTGTATTCTCTTTCCCGGGCAAGGAGCTCAATATGTCGGAATGTGCCAGCGCTTGGTAACAGAGAGTACGGTGTCGCAGCTTTTTGAGGTTGCTGAGAAAAGTTTGGGGTATGACTTATTGAACATATGTTTGCACGGTCCTGAGGAAGACTTGAATAAGACAGTGCACTGCCAGCCTGCAATTGTGGTAGCTTCTCTAGCTGCTTTACAGCATGCGAAGGTCACAGGCGCAAAGGTAACATCTCCCGCCAAAAGATTTCACCGTTAGGAGCTAAAAAGAAGAAACAGGATGAGCTGATGTTTGAAAGAAGTAGTAGTAGATCCAGAAATATGACATTTAGCTTGAAAAGTTACTGGGGCTACGGGACCATGGTCAAATGGAGTTTGATCTAAAGTCAATGTGTAAGCTCAAGACTGCTATGACTTGTCACCCTTTATCAAGCAAAGTTAATTGCTCTGAATTTTTACAGGTTTGCCTTAATGGATCAGATGAACCTAATTCTAACGTGGTCACTGCTGGATTTAGTGTTGGTGAGGTATCTGCCTTGATATTCTCTGGAGCACTTTCCTTTGAAGATGGTAGGTATTTATGAGTAAACATTTGTTTCAGTCTTTTAACAAGCCAGTCACTGGAAGCTTACCCAGATTGTCTGTAACTTCAGACTCTGGCTGATGAAGTATGAAGGAAGATCCACTTTATTGCCAAAACTTTGATACCTAAAAAGCACGATCCATGAACAATTAGACCAAATGGCTTCATGGGAAATGTTGGCAAAGATAGTTAGTGATTCCTTTTTTTTCATTTTTCACATCATTCAATTATTTCTTTTATGACACTCCTTTTCTTTCAGGAAAGCTTGGATAACATCCATCATTCACTACGTACAACTAATGGCAGTTATCATGTATATGTGGCCCATAGGGTCTTGTCTCCTCACTCAATGCTCATTAGTTGTCAATGTTTTTGCAAGCAAGTATTTACATCTGTTAGTTTTCTATAAACCTTAGGATCTGATTCATAGCTCTACCCATTTCTTTATTTGTACATGTAAGTTGGGTTGATTTGTGGTTTTATCAAGATGATTTACTCCCACTTATGAGTTCTCTCTTCCTCTTCCCCGTTTGGGGACTGCCAAACTGACCATGTTACCAACAGTCTATTGCTGCCTGATAGACCTTGTAACACCCTTTGTTTAGCCTGCAAGTTGTTCTCAAGTTTGAGTTTTGGGTTACTATCAGCAGCCCCTTATGGAAAAAGTTAATGAAATCCTTTCAAAATAATTTACATTTTTTAAACTCTTAGGCCTAAAAGTAGTCCGAGTGCGTGCTCAAGCCATGCAGGAAGCTTCTGATAAACACCCCAGTGGTTTGGTGTCCATTTTGGCACCAGCAAACCTGGATATTCATCTTCTTTGTAATCATGCAAAAGAGTGGTCTCACAGAAGTGGCACAGAGGAACCAGTGGCTTGTGTGGCAAATTATCTTTTCCCTGGTGGCTGGGTAATAGGAGGTGACAAGTCATCTGTGAAGTATATTCTGGAATTTGGAAAGGCTAAGGTGTGATAAATAGAGAATGATAAATGAGCGTGTGTCTTCAAGTGTTCAACTCAATATCTTACAAGTGAGTGCAGTGCAGTGCAATGAGTAGGATATTGTTTGAAAATGAGAAGAGAAATTTGATTTCTAATATCAACTACATATTATTTTGTTTATTGTATAAACACAATAGGCCTTTACTGACTAGAAAAGTCAGCTCCACACTGTTTTTTTCACAAGTCAGCTCCACACTGTTTTTTCCATTAACAAAGCGAGCAGGATGGGTCCATCTTGCCCACTTGGGTAGCCAATCATAGCACAGGATTTGCTACCTCTTGCCCCATGGGTGCAGCCAGAATATGATAATAAAGGTCTTGCTCAAGACTAAAACACAATGCCCTGTGAAGGCTTGAATCCTGACCTCTGCTCTTGAAATCCAGCATGCTAACCATAAAAAAAGTTGCAAAGTCAATTTTCAATCTAAGGGAATTATTAGATGTTCCTGTCTCTGTAACATATAGATTTAGCCAAGCTTAAAAACAGAGCTTCCCTTTTTTCCGCGCGTGTCTCAAGGGCTCAACACCTTCAGGGTGTGAAATTAATTTTTTTTTTCTGATAGCCACTTGGCTCCTAAATTTTCAAAGTGGTAGCCAATTCAAAAAAGTTGGTTGCCATTTTTAAAGACAAACAAAACTTTTTTTTTTTTTACGCTGTCAGCATGCTAGATAGACCCTCTAAAATTAAGTTAGGAAAAAGATCTTTCATGCTACAAAGTGGACACTAGGACTGATGATATTCAACTCTCAAGCTCACCTAAATCCAAGATGGTGTCTCGTTATTGACTAAGATGCATGTGCTGTGTTTTGGAAACAAACTTAACGAGGAAGTTTACTGCGGATTTATCTTTGCAAATCTTTTTAATTCACTATATCTCCAGATAAGGTTATGATGAAGCATTCTAGGTGTTAATTTGGCAACTAATTTTCAGGATTGGTCACCAAAGTGAAAAATTTAGTTGCATTGGCACCTGTATTAGGCACAATTTCATGCCCTGACCTTGTCCCGGCCAGGACTAGAACCAGGGTTGTCCGATTCAGAGCCCAGTGCACTGACCACTGGACAACTGGACAAATCCATGGCATTGACATGCCTGTGGAACAGTTGACCACACATGTTAAAAGTAGCACCTTGTAGGTTCGTATGGTTGTACGGTCGTACGGTCATACATTCAAATTTTTTTGGCTTGATGGGTTACTACTATTTTGTATAATTATGGGGTTACGCAGGCTCTGCTATGATTGTTACATAACTTTTGCCTTAATCTAGTTCTAAATGAAAATTAACTTTATTTTCATCTCTTAGCATGGCATCAAAAGAGCTCAGCTCATTCCTGTAAGTGGTGCATTTCATACCATACTGATGAAGCCTGCCCAGGAACCTCTAAGGCATGTGTTGGATTCTATCACTATTCAAATGCCCAGATGCACAGTGTATTCGGGAACAAGCTGTGAACCCTTTACTGATGTGGAGCAGATAAAAAGGTATACTTAAATAACAACAATTGATATCATTAATGGAAATCAGATCTCAGCTAAGTACAATAAATCTTTTAAGGCTTGACTGGAATTTCTGTGTTCTGTTCTGTGTTCTGTTCTGGGACAAGTTGTTCTCACATTTTGCCGCTATCCATCCAAGGGGCATACATGGCAGGATTCATTAAAACTGCTTATCAGCAGTGTACTGTCACCTTAATGACCTCTTATTGCCATCTGTTTAGCTTGCAAGCAGGTTCTCTTTGGGTTTTGCCTTACGGCTCCTTAACTTAATAGAGAGAGTTATCGAAACCCTACCCAGGTACTGGTAAATTTTCAGGAGAAGCTGATTATGCTAAGAGGAAGAAGCTACCAGTATCATCAGCATCAAGTGGGAGTAACTGTCAGAGGGTATTGGTTTTCATGGATGTAATCTTTTCTTACCACAGAAATTGTTATGAGATTTTGTAGTCTTTCTGTTCAGTCATGTATTAGGCTTGTTAGGCTAGTTACAAGGGGTATTTACTGGGTTCATTATCATTAAGCCTTAACCCTTTACTGCCCGAGGAAAATGCTAAATTTCTAAAATGAGAACGATGAACCATTAGACGATGCATAATATATCATTTTAAAGGGATTTCCGGGGGTGAGTTATAAATGACACCAACAGGTGTGGAGGTGGTAACTGAAAATGCTGACAAGTGTCTCAAGTGAAAAATAGCACGTTAAAATTTTTCATTTGCCTGGCACATAATTGTAGATACCACTAAATTATAGCTTAAATTACAGCTCCCAGAGCATTGATTGTTGTGAGATGTCACCCTTAGCCAAAACAGGACAAAGACAAAAAGTTCCAAAAATTGCAGGGTTAGTAAAATCAAGTACTATATCGCAGGGGGCCATGATTTTATGTCTTCAGTGTGCAGATCTTTCAATGACCTTTTGGTTGTGAAAATTATTTCTAAGTCAATGATAGTAAGTCTGGGAATAACCAGTTATTTACAAGAGTTTAGGTCAAGGGTGGTGTCGCTGTTAAAATTACATCAATGTCTTACAGATTTACTGCTTGTCCAAAATTATTTGGTTGCTGGTTAAACCAAAGAGTGACTTTGATCTAATTCCTTCTTATGGTGTTACTGGTGAATCAAACATTTAGATCATGAGAATGAGAGAAATGATTGCAAACTTAAGAAGCTTGTGATAGTCACACAAATTCTTCTTGTTCGCACTTTAGGAAATGTGTAAAGAACAACATGGAGAATGTGCATGCTGATGTTGTGGTTAAACCACTGTCAGCAACTCAGCTTATCTCTACCCAATATACTCAATAACTAGTCACTATTCAGGATTTGAGAGACGCTGGGAAATTTCTTAAAGATTAGGCTGAAGAGGGTGGCAGAAATTAGGCCTTTTCACAAGTGGGTTTAGAAATAATTGGATGCAGTTACCTTTTCAGCTTGAAGCTACTTGAAAAATGTAACTTGGTTTAATCAACCATTCACTAGCATCTCATGCTGTTATTAATGGTAGCAATGCTGAACAGAGTCAAAGCCTTCACCATCTCTAATCCTTTTTGTGTTTGAATGAGGTTCACTGCACTCCAATCAAGGAACTAGCCTTAGGGTGAAATGTTTCCTTAACTATGACAAGTTAAATTTCATTCTTCAGTGAATAGTTTACAACTGTGAATTGCATAATCTTATAACTCATAATTCAATAACGTATTTGTAAAGTTTAAATTCAAATTGTAACATGATCCTTTGCAACTGAAGGTAGTAAAGTTGAAACGTGTTTTGCAAACTGAATTTAACTCATAGGAACTATTTTTTCCTGCTTATTTCCTAACTGTTTGGAAGAATCCTACAGTTTGTGTTATAAATCAAGCTGTTTTACTCTTCCATTCTGCAATGGCTGCTTAACACATGGCAAATATTTGCACCCTTTTAAGGAACTGTAATGAATGAAAGCAAGTCTGTTATTAAATAAGAGGCTGCTAAAAGCATTGTACCTTGCTACATCACCTGTAGTGCTAAAAGCAGTAAGAACATCCACATTTTTTCATAAAGAATAAGAACTAATTTAGTGTATAATGTTAATCAATTTTATCAGGCAAACCTTAGGGAAAATATTCAGAGCATAACTTTTAATAAGCTGTCACACTATAACTATGAGCAGAACTTATGCACCAAATAATAGAATACATTTCATGCATGGGGTATGTGATCTACATGATGGAGATCTTGTCTTTCAGCTCTTTTTTATTGATTTGGTTTTATGTGTGTGTGTGATTTTTGAAATTACACTAGCATATTAAGTTTCAAAGATTTGTCAACCACAATCAGTTCATCTGGACTTGGTCCAATTTTACATTTCTATTCAAATTAAGTCAAAAGCAATTGGCAATGGCATTCCAGAAAGGTCTTTGCTCCTATTTTGAGTGCTTCTGTCTAGATCTGACAGAAGCAAGTTGTTCGTAATATAAGGTGATTTCAAAAGTAGATGAACAAAGCCTGACATTAGTTAGATTCAATGGCTTTTATGTGAAGTTTTATCAGGTAGTGCTGTTGCTCCTTAAATTACCTTCACTCATCTACAATGATGCAAATAAGTTTTGTTCACTCATACAATTGTTGGCAGTAGTATGTATTTTATAAATAGCAGAACTATACCACAATCAACTACCATTGTTCCCTTATCAGGTTTGGCTTTCAAATTTGCATTTCTCAGAAGTGGTTTGATTGTGTTTTTACATGCATCAAGCATGACATTGTGAAAGCAATTGAACCTCAATCTATTGGGAAGGGTCAAATACTTGCCACTTATTTCAAATGTGATATATGTTTACCTTCCTGTAAGTTCTGCTCCTTTTTCTGAGGTAATATCAAGTTTTCTCTGTAATATGTAACTCACATTTCCTACGGAACTTAGAAAGACAATATCTCTGGTTTCCACCAGTACCTACATGTATTTAATCCCAATACTGTGCTTGTGGTTTCACAGCTTGAAGAGATCCATGGGGAACTGTTTTGTTTGTCTCTTAAATTTTCTTTGTGAATATTTTATCATTACATACTAAGTTAACAAGCAATCTAGGATCAGGAGTGAGTAACAAATTAAAAATAACTTTTATATGGTGTGACCTATAGAACATAAGGGTGGATAACTTGCAATCTTAATTATGAATTATTGAGCAACAAAGTTAATGTCATCCTATAGAAAGCAAAATACAAATTCATCCACTTTGTACTCTTTTAATATAGTTATTAATAGTAAAACGTTACCACCAGTAGGTGAATGATGATAAGCTTTTCTTGATTTCAATCAAATTGAGTCTTGCTCATACCATTGCTTTACATTGACTCCATCTGCTTCTGTCCTGCATGGGAAGTTTTAGTTCCTCAGCTGTCACCAACAACTCAGTAAATCCTTTCCATTGCTATAACTGCTCACCCCCTGCATTCTGCATTTCTTGTGTCAACTTCTGGGGAACCAGCTTACTAACAAAATGCTCAATGACTAAACCCTGAATTTAAAATAAATCTTTGATGTTACTCTTGAAAGAAAATAGCTTTCTGTTTTCAGAATGGAATGCCTCATATTGCTCTCTTTGTTATTTTGCAGTTTACTTGTACAGCAACTCGTGGAGCCAGTTCACTGGATGAAAACAATCCAAAATATTATCAAGCAAAGGACAAACCCAGAAAAAATCTTTGAAGTAGGCCCAGGAAAACAGTTAAAGGCTATGATTTCTCGTATTGACAGAACACTGTTGGATAATTTTACCAACCTGGAGACATAAACCATAACACAAGTGACAAAAGGATGTTTTGAAATTCAGGAAATTTATTGTGCAAGTCTGGCCTTGAATGATCTTGACAGTGAAAACATTGCACTTGGATCCCTTTGTGACATAACAAGAATGGAACCTCTACCCGAGTTTGTACTTAACTGGATAAAAGACACTACGGGTATCCCTCCTTCAAATATTGGTTGAAATTACCAAGGATTAAAAGACTAAATAGTGATGGCAAATGTTTCAGATATTTCTAATGGTGACAGAAATTTTATTTAAAGTGCAACATTCAAACATGGCTTTAAGTGTTGCATGAAATTTTTGCATGGTTAATTTTCTGGGGATTTTGCAGATGGTCCTCAATCCATGAAAATAAATTCAAACTAAAGGAAAACTGCAACAGCAGCAAAATAGACTGCAGGAAAAATTCACCGCATCCAGTGAAACGAAATAACTCTGTATACAAATCAAGTTTCAATTCTTACTCTGTATGTTTGCACTTTGCAAAATATCCATCTCCAAATTATCAATGTATTTAGTAGAAAATCTGAGTGAGTTACATTGTTTCCTTGCAAATATTCAGCTTCTTGCATTGAAATTGCAAAAATTAGCTCCAAGAAGAAACTTTAGCTATCTTGAATTGAGAACATATGTCCCTGTACAAAGTTCTTGATACACTAAATACAGATCAAGGGAACATACCTGATATAAAATACAACAAACAAACAATGGAGTGTGAGTCAACGAAAAAATTATTAAAACTTCCTATTCCATATAATTTGCAATGAGAGCTTTGGCTGAAATGTGACCCATTTGGTTTGTAATTTAAGCATGAAAACAGGTTACACAGCGATTGTGTATGATTTATCCCTAGGCTTGTTAACCTTACCAATTCATTTTATCTTTTAATCACCAGTGCAGGTGACGAACAATGTCTTTAAAACCTTGGCGTGCAGACTGAACATAAATGTCTCGAGGCCGAACCTAGTGATTTAACTGATATATCACAGTGTAAGACACATGCTCAGAGGGTTCCATCAAGCAAATGTAATTATGGGAGAATAGACTGAAGTAAAAGTACATTCTTTTTCTGTCTTATCTGAATTTAAAAATAGCTCTGGGGATAAAATAATTAAGCTGTAAAATTCCTCTGTTTCTAGATGTTTTTTAAATTGCATTAAATTTAATTTAATTGCACAGACCAGGAAATCTTGGCTGATTATGTCAAGTTGGCTTACTCTTAAAACTTCCTAGTAAATACTATCAAAGTTCTCTGTGGTTTGACCTTACTGTTTTAGCTTTCTTTCATGTTTAAAGATATATTTATTTAGTAGGACAATGCTCTTAGTATGTATCCCTTAGCAGCAGCAAGGTTTGTCTTGTTGAATACTGTGGCAGCAGTCTTAGAAAAGGCTGCCTAAGGGTCCTGGTTGATGGCAGTTTTTTCAAGTCCAAGTTGCAGTTTCACTTCTTACTTACTGATGTTAAGTCATTTCGAAATGAAACAAGAGGAACATTTTTAAATAAATATTGTTCTCAATGTTCTTTGTGATCAAATTCTGGTTTGAAATTAGCTGCTGAGGTTATAAAGGTTCCTTGTTAGAACCTTGACCACTTCTATCTGAATTGATAGTTAGTGATGTGAAGTAACTGTAACCAGTAGCTAACTTGGACCTTCGCTGTGTTACTTCTCTGAGGTAAAATTTTGAAGTGTTGGGTTCTGCGGTGGAAGGGCAAAGAATTAAATTGGAGAAAAAAAATCATGGGGGAAAGAAAATGAACCAAAAACAAAGTAAATCCACATGTAACACAAGGTCCAGGAATGGGACACCAGTCATGGGAAGTGAGAACTCTTGCACCATCACTGATTCCCTTGCGCAAATTCACTCTAACTTCTTGACGCTGCCATAAGCATCCTACAAGGTTGGTTAAATTCATAAAAAAAAAAGAAAGAAGATGCATGTTTTATGTTCTGGTATTCGTAATTGGTCAACAAGGTCATAGGAAAGCACATTATAACTGATAGTATATCACCATCACTGTTTCCCTTGCGCAAATTCACTCGAACTTATTGACGCTGCCATAAGCATCCTACAAGGTTGGTTAAATTCATCAAAAAAAAAGAAAGAAGATGCATGTTTTATGTTCTGGTATTCGTAATTGGTCAACAAGGTCATAGGAAAGCACATTATAACTGATAGTATATCTCTTCCACTAGGAGAATAATTGAATACCAAAGAATTGTTAAGGAAACTTTGACTTTAGCCTGGAAAAACACCTTCAGTGGACTATCATTCCGTGCATGGAGTGTGACACTGTTCCTGGTCAAAGCAGAAAACATCCTTTAGGCACAATGTGGGCCATTTTGCCACAGCAAGTTCATTTTTTTGCTTGTAAGCCAGTGTCTCTATAAATAGCAACGCTCTTTTTCAAGTGGCAGACAATAACCTTCACAATAATGTAATAAATTCAAATTGTTTAAATTTAATTCAATAAATTAGTACGAAACAGTCCTGGTTATTATATTATAACATCTAGCTGTCCTTGTTTTGAACAGTAATATTATGGCACAAAATTATTACATATAACCCTTGCAATTCCTCAAATACAACTTTGAAGATAAACTGTACAGGAGACCATCAAAATAAGTGTTCAAATCTGATAAGAGAGATTTCTACACCTTGATATTTACGAAATATTCTATGAAGATAACAGCAGAACAATATATTAAGCTTGAGAGCTAGTTCAATAAATAATGTGCCACAAAGTTGTATTTCAAGAATTGCAAAGGAAAAGCTTAGCATTTGCTAGGAGTACACTCAAACAATCTCTAAGAATTAATTTAGTAATCAAAACTTCGAACGCATGATCTACAATATTCTAAAATAGGGATGGACATTCTCAATTACAGAATTTTTTACTAGGAATTTTTTACTTCAATAACGAGCACATCAATGAATTTTCTCCTGATGCCGCGATTTCGTTGTAATCAACTTTGTTGCCATCACTCCATTTGCTGATTCTTGAAAAATCGAGAAAAAAAAGCTAACTCGGATCTGTTTAATCAGATTGTAAACTTGTAATTCCAAGACAAAATTGGATCAAAATTTGTTAACCTCATTTAAACCAGTATCAATGCGTGTTCAATGAGTGAAAAGAACAAAACAGCTTACCAACTTTTTGAAGTCCATCGATCTTCAAATTAAAGATTCAAACGTGAACAAATTTAGAATAGTAAGCTAAGAATTACCTTGACACACTACGACAATACAATATACCAATGAAAACAGTAAATATTCGTTACACTTCATTTTCGAAAGATTTCACTACAATCTTGAATTTGTTTCACTCTAATAAGCAATGCCGTTTCGAGGCACAATTAATATAACTTTCGCGATTTGTCGCTTTTTCTCTATCTTTAGACTGAAATACGACGACGTAACTTGAACATAATGTTCAATTCCTCATTTTTTCTAAACAAAAAAAATAAAGCTAACATTAGGAATATCTATCTCATTCATAATACATCTTTAGTCGATAATTTAAGTCAATGATTACGCTACTGCATATATGCGCGCAAAATATTCATGTTCTTGATAAAAAATAACACATCTTTAGAAATTTATTAGGCTGGGAAAAATCAAATCGTTTGAAGGTGTTCTCTAGTTCTGTTTTAACAGCGATGACTACTTCTACACTTAAAACTGACTACTGTCTTCTACGATCTACCTCGATTTTAATTCCCAGCGCGCGCAAATTCTCTAAAATGATCTAACAACTGCGTCTTTCTCGCGTTTAACCGAATAAACTTTGGTTAACATTTTCGGGCGACTATCACGCGTTGCTTAAGGCAACAGCGTACTTTTCAACCGAAATGATGTTGTAAACATAACTTGTTTTTGTCCAATTCAAAGAACGAATCCTCCCATGGGATAGCCGTTATATTCCATGGAACGTTGTAGTACAAACGACTTGATTTAGTTTTCAAACAGAAGAAAAAATTGGGATTCCCACGGGATGTGACTGTATCTTCCAAGCCAAAGTTAAAAATGTCTTGACAAAAAGAAAAAGACGCCTTAGATGGTTTCTTTTTAACGTATGGAATATGGACATAACACATCGATTTCAAGAATTAGCCTGAAGAATTCTCCGAAGTGGCGTTAACAATGGCATAGCTTAGAACAAAAACAAAGCTATGAAAATTCCGAAACCTTTTCCGCTTCTCGATGCAAAAGCAAGTTGAATAGTAAACGAACCTCTATTGAGATGATTCACACCTTCCCTTTTTTCAGGCCATAACCGTCGGCTCGTTTGAGCTCGGCGTCCAAATTAAATTATTAACTATTTCTCAAGGGTACGCTGCCAAAATGAGATCCTTGCACAAATAGTTGACTCTTCTCACTATTTCTTCCAAGACGAACGCTTTAAATAATCAGACAAAACTCAGCATTTAAATAGATTATAAGCTTACATGTTAAAAGTGCTGTTACGAACTCGAGGTGCGTACATGACTCGTGCAACATTTTGACAAAGGAATCAAATAAAGACGTTGCAAAAGAAAAGCTATAAATTTCGCATTTCATTTCTGTCTGGCAAGCTGTGTTCTAAATTTACCGAATAGTATACGAGCTCTCTACGTGAATGATGAATTTGTACTGAAACGAAAGACGGCGTGTATGTTGTCAGCACAAAATGGTGTGAAACGCAAATTCTGAGCTATTGTGGGTTTGGCTTAAACTGTTCAACTCTACTTTGAAAATCTCTCCGAGCCATAGGCCAATTTCGAGCGCTTGAAACACCGCAAGAACTCAAAAATAAAGCTTAAAAATAACACCTCCTGGCTATGAAAAAACAATCGATCGATGTTAGAGAGTTCCTTGATTTCTGCAGTCATGCAAACAGTTTGTTTACATTATCTCACAGCGCTCAATTGAAGAACAGCTAGCCGGGCAAAAAAAAAAAACCTTGTCGTCATAAACGCTTCTAATAGTAATCTACTTCACACGATCATGTAAATGCAACAACACGTCGCCCAGCGTTTGTTAATGGTTTTAGAACACTTGTATGCGATTGTTACCAAAATCTACAACAATGATTGCTCCTTCGTTGCTTACACATATACCTGAAGGACGATCAAGCTGACCAGGGGCATTGCCGTGTATTCCAAACTTGCAGAGGAAGTTTCCATTGGGTTGGAAGATCTGAATTCGATGATTCTTTGAGTCAGCAACGATGATGTTTCCCTCTTGGTCCACGGCGACTCCTTGAGGGCGTAGGAACTCTGTGTTCTTGCTTCCCTCCACTCCCAAGAACCAGGCATGTTGGAAGTCCACCCTGATCACGAGCAATCGGTGGTTGTTGAAGTCGGTGACGATCATATGGCCTTCATGATTAAACGCTACACCGCGGGGAGAATCAAACTCTTTCCAGTGGATGCCTTCAAAGCCAAACTTGCCGAGGAACTTTCCCTCTCTGTCGAAGAGTTGGACACGGTGATTACGCGTGTCCGAAACTAGAATGTTACCCTCGTTGTTGCATGCCACATCCCAGGGGTAGCTAAACTGGCCATTCTTGCAACCTTTCTCGCCAAATTTAAGAATGAATGTTCCATCGGCGTTAAAAACTTGGATACGATGGTTGTCTTTATCAGCAACGATAATGCGTCCATCGCTGTCACAAGTTACCCCTGCGGGCCGATCAAATTGTCCATTTCTAGAGCCTGCAGATCCGAACTTGAGACGAAAATTCCCGTAGCAATCGAAGACTTGAATACGGTTGTTGCTTCGATCAGCAACAATAATATTACCATCTTTATCGCAGCAAACGCCCCATGGGCGACAAAGTTCACCATCAGCTTCACCCTCAGAGCCGAAAAAACGAACAACTGGCCCTATGCCAACGTAATTTCGACCCTTGATAACTGTAACTCTGAACGGAGAATCGTTAATGTGTCGACCACGTATAGTCACTGAAACAATATGTTCTCCAGTCACTTGAGGACGATAAGAAACTGTGTAAGTTCCATTTTGCCGATCGCTAACCTCTGCTCGATAGAAAATCCCATCAGGGCCTTGTACTTGAACGCGCAAGGGGTCCCCACCGATACAGCGGTTTTCGCCTTGATGATCTTTAGCTTGCACTATAAACATAGCCACTTTGCCGCGAATACCTCGTCTTAGCCCGTCACCAGTCGCACAAGAATACGGAGCAAAAGCGCTACTACTAACAATACCCAGAGAACTAATGGCTGTTTGCAAAGCCTGGTCAGGAGGTGTGAATAATATGGCGTCATCTTCGTGGGGCTGTAATAGGCCACGTTTCGCTCTAAGTTCATTTAAGTGTTTAGATAAACGACCCTTGGCTGCGAGCAATTCGGGGTCTGAGTTCAGTTCTAACGCTCCCTCAGACGATTTGCAAACGCTTAAGACTTTACCTAAGCTAGCCTTGAGTTCATCAATCTGTAAATGAAGGGATTTACCTTTAATTTGGCGCACTTTCTCCACGCGTCGTAAAAGCTCTCTCTCCCGCTCTTCCAATGCAGCCATGTGCCTTCGTACAGTTTGCCTGATCTCGTTGGAGACAGTTTGTGCCCTGTATTCCACTTGCTCTGCGATCGCTTGCGATGAACTCACCGATTCTTCCAATTTACAAATCTCGCTTTTGGCATCAGCGATCAACTTTCCCACGATCGCTTTGGTTGATTCAACCGCCTCGCGAAGGTACTGGAAACTATGGCCTCGATGATCTTGGAAAGTACAATCACTACAGACCGGAGTAAAACATGTCTCGCAATAAAGCCGCAAAAATTCAGTTTCATGTTTCCCACAGCGTACTAACCCTTCAGAAGGAGTTTTATCGGCCATCGTCGGCAAGGGCGAAATTGAAATGGTTGGCGAAGACGCTAACGTTGATGTGGCAAGGGTTGTTTTATTCTGCATCATAGCAGCTTCTTCGATAAATGAAACGATTCTATGATCTTTGGTCATCCGAACTCTCTGATGAGCTCGAACACAACTGTCACATAGATACTCACTGCAGTCTTTACAGTGCGCCGTAACCATTGATCCTTCACTACAATTACTGCAATCACGGATCACAGCTCGTATCAAGCTGCTGGTTTCGATGCTTCCTTGGCTCGGAACAAGCACATCCAAAATATTATGACTGAAGATGTTTGTAGGTAAACCGTCTATTCCGGCCTCAGACAGAGGAACGTTTAAACGACACGTTGGGCATTTTAACCGACCATTTTCGACCGCTTCCGTCAGGCAGTTCTTACAAAAAGTATGTAAACACGGCAAAACTTTTGGATCGTCGAAGCCGTTATGACATAGAGGACACGGTATTTTGCTCTGTCCAGCTAACTTATCCAAGCCCTCGGCCATTTCACCGTCGCAAAATAATCGCATTGAATCTGAATAAACTGGGCGCAAGTCACAGTTACCACTGTGTCCTTGGCGATCTATGCAATGGAATGATTTTCGCTCCTTGAGCACATGTGATCGACTCTTTCTGGTTCACTACAGTGTGTTCATTCGCTGCGTCACTTTCATGCACACGGTTTCCTTTGAGTCACCAGCGGCTTTGTTCCGTTTTGAAAAGAGCCAATCACAATTCGTTTCAACTGATGAGAAGGCGTGGCGGGAAAAGAACTCACATGGCCATTTCATTTTGACACTACGTACCTGTCAATCAAAAACCCAGTTAACATGAACACTGACCAATCAGAGGTGCGTATTAACGATGCCTGCCGGCTGTAAATTACCGAGAACACAAGCGTGTTACATCCAATTTTATGTAATATCAAACAATAGGCAGAGACAAGAGTGAGCTAGTAAACTGCAGGATTGTACGTGACAGGTATCGCGATCCACTTGGTTTCGCGTGTATGAGTTGGCACGTAGTTATTCACCCCGAACCTTCTCAAAACAATTTTTTTTCGTAAATTTCGCTTTAACCCGTTGTGAGGGCAGAAGGTTGAATTTGAAAAGAGGAAATTAATTAGATCTGACATTCATGATTCGTCAACCATGTCATGTCACACAAAAACAAACCTCCATTACACTCGCCAATTAGCCAGGGGAAGGAGATCAAATGCACAGCGCTGTTGCATCTTCAAATGTTTGGCGGAAAGCGATCCCATTTCACGATCGCTTCCGCTCTGAACAATCCTGCGGTTTCCTGTTTTTATATTCGACGATTGAAATGGATAATTTTTTACGAATGACTGCAAACGCTGTCCATAGCTATGCAAATTTTAAGCAAGAACTTTGACACCTCTGGCACAGAAACAGAGGACAAAGTGGCGCTACTCTGACATTTTAAATGTTTCATTGAAACATCCAAGGTCAACGGGACGCCATCATCTTGTTCGCACATAAAAGAGCATTTTTATCGTATGTAAATCTCTCGTTTGTGACCTTTAGAGGCCACTTTTGAATCAAACATCATCATCACCATTCAAAGATCGCTACTTTGGAGCCCTTGTGTTAGGACGCTTTATTTAGGTTAGTTACCAATGATAATGGACGCCACACAGCTCGACAAAAAAATAAATATGGTATGCTAATAGCAAACAGAAATATCCCTGTAATCACTTAAAAAACCCAAGAAGAGAACTACAGCTTTTTATCCAATTAAATGCGTTCAATCAACAAATCACGGCGTTATGGCATTGTTCCCGGCTTGAGCGTGTTGTGTGTACTTTAAAACTCGGGATATAAGGATATTTAGCAGATATTGAGCACCGGAAGCTAGGACGTGACGTTCAAAAACTCACGTCGATCATTGCGCTTATTATGTTTCAAAATCTCCCAAGGATTGCGCAGTCTAGCATGACCACTTCACTTACCCGTAAAGGCAAAACATGAATATTTTAAATCAGTGAGCTGGAAACGTAAACGTAACGAACTGATCTGTGTGTTAAATGATTGCAGCTATGACGTATAGCGCTGTTTAGATGAAGTCATTATTACGGCAGATTTACTTGATTTACTACTTACTTTACTCTGTCTTGAAGATTCCTAGCCATATGCTGGAGGAAATCTTAATTTATCCCACACACAAATCGCCGTGAATCACCCAGAGGTTTTACAGTCTTGTGAAAGTGATATTTAAGCTCTTACCTCTATATCTTACAGTCGATTACAGAAGAGACAACTAAAGAAAGATTTGCTGCGTAATTTCCGAAGATGATCTCTGCCAGGCTTAGGTGCTGTGAGGTCATAACACGCCACCCGCGAGGAATGTTGCAAGCTTTTTTCTTGTCGCTGTGTTCGTAATACGTGCTCACACTGTTCAGGTTTGTAGATCAAACTGAACGAAAATAAGAGGATTCGATGTTTTTTGTTTTGTTTTGTTTTTTAACCAAAAACTCACACTTTCGATAAAGCAAATAGAACTAGATGATTGGAAGTCGAAAATCCGCTTTGCATTAATGAATGACTTCAAATGAACGATAAGCCCTCTATCGTAGACCCGTGGTATGTACCGATTTGCTTTGGGTTATTGATACCTAAGCTGACTCATAGAATGCAAGCCAAGGCCAACATTATTGTGGATCAAACGCTTGCTTATCGGTCGTTACGGTAAACAACAGTTTAAGAGTAGAAAGATCATTAACTAAACATTATAAAGCATGTATTTATAGGCACCTTGCCTAAAGGCTAAAACCTCGAGATATCGGCCAAAACCGCGCATTACAGCCGTTTAGCTACAAACATGAGACGGAAAACGTTGATAAGCATGAAAATGACCGGGTGTCGATGAACGTGTGGAAGAAAGGTCATTACTTCAACCGCTTATTCGACTTTTTGCAATTCCTTGCTGTCGTCGAAGTTTTAGGTTAACCTGTGTAAACCTTTCTGAATTTTGGACAGTGAAGTCAAAATGCCAACAGGCATGTATCCATGATCTCAAAGTTGGTGATATTTTTTGTCTAGATTGAAAAAACTTATGACTCTTCAGGATTTCCAGAAATCTCTTTGATACCACAGAGGGAGAGAGGACGCAGGCATGCAATATGATTGTTATTGACCTTTGGAGCTTCAATTAAACTTGACATTCAACAGGTTTTCAGTGCATATTGTTCCAAGAATTGTGATTGGTAACTCTTGCCTTCCAAAAATAACATATGCAAATTATTTAAAAAGATAACTGAAGGACACTTTCTCTTTTGGATTTCCGCCATTCCAATTTCGGAGTTAAGAGGATAGATTTTACGGTTTGCTCACGATGTTCCGAGCGATTCAGTGAAACAGACTCTGAGAGGAAAACGTTACATTCAGTCTACCAAATTTCAGATAAAACTTTAACAAAGGCTCGTTAATCATCAAAAACCAACTACAAATTGAAACTGAATTATCAGAATTTGAAGCCTTGTGATTAATTGGAAAGGTTTCACCCACTCTTGAATTCATTTTGCGATAATAAATCATTTACAATCCTGTCAGTGTATTTTCGGATAAGAACCTTTCAATACTGGCGCGTATTTTTGTTTTTGATTTATCACCAAAACAAGAGCGATAAGTCTTGATATCGACCCTACCACTGTCTCTGATTCTTCGTAAACCTTTGTTTAGTGGAGTATGTTTATGTTTTGCGTTCACTCACGCCTATTTCCGCTTAGCTACGATTGAGAATTCCCCTCCATGATCGTTTTATCGGCAGTTGACTTCTATTTTTGGTCAGGTATTTCATTTGCAGAAATTTCGCTGTTCATTGATTATATCACTGTTTTGTTAACCCTACCGCTTTTTAAATACTTACTGTTTATGGAAGAGATCAGTGATGCGAACAGGCTGTGAATGTGGCATAGAAGAGTGGATAACTTTTAGAGGACACGGTTGGTGTTCGAAAATGAAGCGAACTTATAGTTCAGGAACCCGATTTATTTAATCAAAAGCTATTCGAGACATCAGACAGTTGAACAATCTTTTGTTTTTAAAGTAAGTGGTCTAAAGGATATCCTGGAGTAATAGAGTTACAAAAAAAAAGCAAAGAAAAAAACATTGCGAAACGAGATTGTTAAATATCGGTCTCAAGGTCGATTCAACGCAAGCTGTCGTGATATTCGCGCGCTGATAATGAATTCGTATCATCTAGAAGAATGTTATGGTTTTTAAATGGAAACTTGGTCAATTGAAAACACGCTTTAAAGTAGAATAACATTATTGAGTTTTAGCGAGGGAAGCGCAAAACGCAGCCGGAAAAAAAATCAACAAAGATGCATACTCTTTACTCTACTGACTTTAAATTTTCGAAGTTACGTAATATCAATGATCTCTGTACTTGGTTACCGTCGTTTGTCCGTGTTGAGTGAGAAGCTTTCGTCAGTTTTTGTTTTAGTCATGCAAATTCTCTTTTGATCCCTTCTCTTGTTTGCGGCGAATTATGCACGACTGAAAATTACGAATAGACTGCCTAATCTCTCGCCATCCTTCTTCAATTTAAGGCGAATTCTGCCGACCACCTTAATCGGCTTGATCGCATGTTCGAAGCCTTCTCTGTACGTCAATTCATTTTACATTTAAGTTCACCACGGGTCATACAGGTCATTTCATTCATAATTCATTTGGCTCGAGATTAAAAAAAAAAACAAAAAAAACACTTCTTCCTGTAACAGTTGAACTGTAACTTAATTAACTGTATCAGAAGTGAGTGTAAATTAAGTTTTGGTATATTAAATTACACTTAAGAAGGACAGACCGCTTATGAATTATGAATTCCGTTATAAGTATCCGGTATATTGGTCACAAAAAGATGATTACTATATAGGCTGTTTCGGAAATGTTTCGGAAGGCATGCACTTAAACTCGAAACAAAAAACGAAACTACTTAAACAAAACCATCGAAACGACTAAAAATATACTTGAAAAAAGAAAAAACAGTCATAAATAATAAAATGAATGCCTAGGGGTCAGCCTTAATATTCGTCTCGTTTCGATTATGGTCTATACTGAGGAGAAATTGTCTCTGGCTCGATGGCCGTGGGCTTAGGTTAGCCTCTTAAACAACGTTACACAATATTAAGGCTTCCTTTCTGAAACAGGGTGGTAATATGAAAACATTTTGTTGAAAAAACTGGCTTGAGTTGTCTTCGGCTTTGAGAAGTGAAAGAACATTGTGTGAAGCGTGAAAAAGAAGGTAAAAACTGAAAAGGAGTGCTTCACTTGAAATAATCGTAGCTAACATAAAGCGTCAGGAAAAAAATTGACTTAAAAAAAATTAGGAAAAAATCACGGACATAGACTTGGTCAATGAATACTGATATATTTCTTCTTTCTCTTCCTTATGTTCACATTATATTTGATACGGCATTCCGTTCTCCAAACTGACATTCAAGTGTCAGTTTAGAATTTCATCCACTAGACTTTCACGTGGCGAAAACAAGAAAATTAGTTACTTTGGA